GTTCCTTCAAAACTCAAAATAACAAGTGGAACGCTCGCAAACATGTGAACCTTGCAAACAGAACTTTCTCACACTGTACGTCCATCTTGAAGCGTGGGACGTCAAAGCCAACGTTCTCCTTCATCACCTCGTGGCCCAAGAGTCGGGTGATAAGACAATGCCCGATGGGAGCCCTGCTTGGTGTCGCCTAGGCCACTCCTGGGGCCAAGAACGCTGGAAAGCAGAAGCTGACGCCTTCTTGGCGCAAGGTGGACTCGGCCCTGGCATTCAAATCCCTTTCGTATCCTCAGAACTCATGCCGCGTCTCCATGCGCCCGATCTGGATATGCACAGGTACAGCTTCCACCGTTTGCGTGAGATGTATGCGCAGCGCAATTTCCAAATGTTGTACCTTCTGCACGAGTCCCAATTTCCGCCTGGCGGCAACGACATGCAGCGCCTGCTGGATGCTTGGCCGCCGCAGTCGACACTGGACCGCACCCAGTAACAAGAGGCGTCGGCCCATATGCCTGCGCATTGCGACCGTCGACATACGTCGTTGGGTCAATTGCTTCGCCACAGGCTATAGGTCTGGATTTGTGGACTTCGTGTGCACGATCGGGACACAACAGGACTCCGGGGCTGACCGTTGTTCGACGGAACTAGAACGGCGGCCGGAGCTTTGACTTTGGGCTCCACCGGTAGTCTTGGACAGCTTTGGGCGACGGCCCTCTGCTGTTGTGGATCGGTCGCTGAGGCCCCGTAGCTCGTGCTGAACGGCCAACACCGGCAAAGCCTGTGCGCCGCAGCTAGCTCTTTTGCCTCCTTTTTTGCGCTGCCCGTTTCACCGCTGTTTTTGTTTGTTTGTTGGTTTGTTTGTTTGTCTTGTTTGTAGGGACCGAGTGCTACAGCCGTAGTCGACGAGGCCCGCCCACGCCAAAAAAACCTTGTCGCGGGGGCTGAAGAAAAGATGGAGGTCGGAAAAAAGACATGCCGGGGTCGAAATCAAGATGGACCAAGCGTGGGGTCTGAGAAAAGATATTTCGGGGTCGAAAAAAAGAGCAGCCCCACACCAAAAAGCTTACATAGAAGGAGCTCTTAGTTTGTTTTCATGGTCCACTCCATTGCCTTCTGCAACTCGAGTGGGTGAAAATGTCGGAGCAGACTCAACGGGTCAGACAATAGCAGACTGACAAGGAAGATTTTCTGTCTGGTGGTACGTGCAACGTGATTAGCACTGTGACAAGAGTTGTTTGCAAACAAAGAAGATTTACCTCAGACAAGACAAGCTGCAAGCACTGAACGGCAAACTGTCTGCAGCCCAAAACCGAGCGAGATCTGGAACTGAGAGAGCCGCAGAGCCACAACTGCCTCCAACTGCATTCGGTCAGGTTGCTTGACTGCGGATGCACATTGAATAAAGACGTCTGACTGCATTACTGCGATTGTATGTCAAACCTGGGTAAGAACCTGGGTTGTACCTGGGTTGGAATCTGGCTTAAACCTGGGTTTTTACAAATCCGGGTCCAAATCTTGTTAGAACCTGGATTCAATCTGGATTCGTTTCAACCTGTGTGAGATCTAGATGAAAACGCTGTTGGAACAGGATTTTGAGGAGGCCAAAGCACATTAAGGAAGGGAAAGGAAAGAGGATTGTCCCAGGTCAAAACCCAGGTTCAAATCCAGGGAAAACCCAGAAGGGCTTCCAGGCAGGCCTAGCAAACTCGAGGTCGCATATACCGCACACGCACTCCAGAATGTGTCCGAGCAGTTCAGTTGCACTTTGTAGAAGATTGAACCTTCCGCCTTCAATCCCAGGTGTGCCGCCGCCCGCGCCAACAGATTTGACAGCACTCACAAATGTGTTCCTTTCGCCGGTTGCCAAACCACTCCGAACAGCACACCATGTAAGTGCAACAAAACATGCACTTTTCAAACTCTATCCTGGTGGCGACTGCCGAACCCTGCACTTGCTTGGTGTTTACATGTTTTCAACATATTAAACAGTGCCAAACCGGTTTATCATGCACCTTACTGGACGTTTAGCATTGTGGGTACGACTTATCGGAAAGCTTCCCCGCATGCTCTGCTGCACACACACAAAAACGCGCCTAACTTTCACAGGTCCTGGGTTTAATCTGGATTTGAACCTGGGTTTTGACTAGGTTCGAACTTGGGTTGAACTCTGGGTTGAATCCAGGTTTGAAACCCAGGTTCTGACTTTATGCTCTGAATTTCTGCTCTGTTTTATTCGCTTTTAACTTAAACCAAGCGATCTCGTGTGGGCCTTCGTGTCGACCAAGTCTTCCTCAGACCTCCTTTAAGTCTTTCTTCAAACCGTCCGCGTGCAGCTGGCACGAGTCCACTGCCTCACACACGCCAGGCGGCGGCAGACGCGACCCAGAAATTGCGGGAAGCGGAGCCTGTTGAGTGGCAGTAGCTGCTTCGCATGCTCAATTATCAACGCTGAACGACTTTGCCGGCAACGTCTGTCTGTCGCAGCCACTTTGTTTTCACTTTGTACAGTCGATTGTTGCTTTTTAGTTCTTGCTTCGAGACGGGGCCTGGACAAAAGACCAGTCGGGAAGATGTGAGCTCCGCGTTTCGCGTCACTTCTTTCCGGTCTTTGACTCTTTGACACGAAGGACCCTAAATGGTCACACTGGATCTGGATGATTCCCGCAATCAGACTTCGGGCTTGGTGGAAAATCATGAGTATACCATCGCCGCTGGAATTCGTTGATCACATCACTTCACAGACATTCCTCCGCGTCCATGGCGGTGGCAAGCTCTTGTTATCGTGGAATGTCGATTACGACTCCATTTTTCAGTCGGAATTTCGATTCCTGCACACAGTCTGCGTCTTGTCAACTGTGCATGTCATTGATTGTTGTGACTCTGCGTCTGATTGACAATTGAAGAACCAATTTCCACAGACAGCCCCACATTTCAGCCGCGTGTGCTGCAATTGGTCCGCACCAAAGTGCCATCGCGGCCTGGTGGCTGAACGGTTGGAAGACTTCTGGCGCTTGCTTGCAGGCTGAACTGTACGTGCAGCCTTGCCCTTGCTGAGCTGTTGGACTCATAGGACCAACAGAGCCTGGTCCAAACAGGTCGAAGTGACTTCCTCACGTTCTGGGAGCCAAGTCAACGTGCATTCATGAATTTCTGTCCGTCACACAGGATTCCACTTGTCCGCATGTTCTCGCCTGGTAGTTTGCCCCTTTCCACAACGCTCTTAAAACAGGACACGAGGGTCGACCGTTGTCTGGCCTTGCATTCGGTGCTACGTTGTCTTGGACTTCGGATGACGGTTTACTGTTGCTTTTAGCTTGAAGTTGCTGTGCTTGGTTGGAATGTTTAATGGGACCGAGCACTGCAGCTGCAGCCACAAACCGCCCGCCAAAAAGGGCTTCTCTGTGGAGATGAAAAGAGAACAGCAGGCTGTGGAAGTCTGCAAGTTTGGGAACTTTGAACGGCGTGCGAAACAAGTGCAAGCATTGGAAAACCATTTTTGATTCACATGTAGAAGGCACACATATCGACCTGGCTTATGGATTTGCCAAAAGGCCGCGATTCTTGTGCTGTGGGTGCAAGTTTCGTGGCAAACGATTGAATGGGTGCGTGATGACCTCGCGTGTAATGTGGAAGAGAGTACGTCGCCTTAACCACACACGAGGGCGCCGTAAGCAAGCTAGGGCGAAGCAGTTTGAATGTAACCGGGCACACATTTTTTGTTTGTGCTGTGACAGAGCTGCATGATCTGTCAGGATCATGTGTTTCCCCCAGCTGGCAGGTTGTGGTGTGCTGTTGAATATTTTGAGAGTTAATAAGCCTTTACAGGTAGGTCTCGACTCACAACTTCACTTCCTGGCGACCACATGTGCTTTTGCCGTGATTGTTGGTTCTAAGTTAGGCGCCACCTCGGCCGCTTCGTGAAAGATTTTTTTTTCAATTGCATTGTTTCTCGCAGTTGTTTCGTTGTTGCGTGTGGTCGCTGCGCGACGACCTTCGTGTCCGACCGGTTGGATTGATCCTCACTGTGCTTCTTGCGTGAGTGGCCCGCGACTGGCAGCGGTTGAATTGAAGTTGAGCTTTAGCAGAGATGGTGCCCACGGGAAAATCATGCCGATCCGTTGACTTTGAATCCGAGAAGGTTGGACTGCTCCTTTGTATCTTCGAAATCTGGGTTTGCATTGGGTTTGATTCTCAAATTCAAAGTTCTTTGGAGGGTGGAACGCCCGTAGACGTCCCATATTGGCAGTATTTTCGAATGTGTTATGGCGAAAATATGTTTTGAAACAGAAGAGTGGTGTAACACTTGATTTTGCACCATGTTAAATTAGTTTCCGTCATTTCATGTATCAGATCTTTTTCCTTACACGCATTATGTACTCGTTCGAAAGTAGGGCCCAAGCCCTGTTCCTCGAGGGGTTTGACTCAAACCCTTCACGCTTTGAAAGTCTGATGTCGCTTTGTTTTATACACTACTTCAGAAGGATACATGATTACACCTTTGTGTGCGCATGTTGAACCTTTTGGCCTTGGGCAAATCGGAAACTTAAGTGACAATCCGCATAACGTCGCAAAACCTTGTGCATGGGGAAAACAGGGGCCCCGCAGCGTTCCTTTCTGTAAGTTTTCACAACTAGCCTTCATAGCGTCTATTTGGGTTTAGGGCGGTTTAGGGTTTCGAGTTTTTTCAGGTTTGACACCTGAGAGGTTGCACCCGGCAATGATGATCGAGCTACGAGCAAATGCATGAGTTCAGATTTTCGTGATTCAAGAATTTCCGTATAGTTGTAGTCATCAAGAGCATGATTCGGTCTGGCAGTATGATCGTGATGAGGGAATTTCGGTCCGAAGTAGCCTGATTAGCTATAATATATTGTGTCAAGATGGATAACACAGTTGCAAGCAGCACGAACATGCCCATTTCACCACTTTCAAGTTTCCCCACGCAAGCTGATAACATGATGAGGGGTTGGGCAAAGCAGAACAACATCCGGTCGCGTCTGCGTATGACTGATGTGATTGCAAGGCGTCGAATTTTTAGCGAGGCTTGGGCAGTTCCATAGTTCGGAGTTCAACGAATGCATAAGCAGTTGCTGGCTTGCGGGAAGTTTAGACATTTGTGTCAGGCCAGGAGGAAGCTCAACAACATTTCCATTGCCATAGCAGAGGTGCTTCGAGCTGCTGGCAGTGGATGTTTTGAAGCGTGTGTGTTAAACAGTTACATTGTTTCGCCCGTTCAAAAAAGCACTTCACGCACAGAGCTGCGCGGTATGGCCTTATCAGAGCATCTGTGCACAGGCAACCTCGCTGGCAGAGGAGCGTGCGAAACAAAAGGGCGACATATCAGCCGTGGAAGTCAAGGCCGGTTTTGTCCGAATTCACTGCCACATCCCTTGCTATTGAGAGCCCGCTATAAGCTTCTGAAGCTGCTTTGCATGATGTGTTGAGTTTGTCTTGGCCTGAGCCAGGCCGTGAGGTCTTGGGAGCTGCTTCGACAAGTTTCGCATGCAATCGTTACCTGTTCTCGGGAGACGCTGTTTGCACGCCCCTGCACTGCAAGTTTCTGTCCGATTGCATGGCTTTTGGAGTTGACGGCCAGCGGGTCCTGATCATGCAAGTGTCCTTTGCACTCAGGGCGAGCCGTGAAAGCCTTGACGGAAAACTTTGAAGAACGAGGTTCACTTGAAATTTCCGTCGAAGCGCGCCAGTACGAAGTCCAGAAGTTGCAAACCGTCTGCGAGGTGGGCTCATTCAGGTCATGTCGTGGGATGAGCGATTTAGTAGTGTGCTTCCTGCCTTCAAGCATTCCTGTGGTGCAAGTTGCCGGAACCCAACACATTGTCACCTGGTCTTCGGCTTGAGTTTTCCGCTCGTTCAGGCACTTACGAGTGTGCCCGATCCTGTTGGTGATGACGAGGAGACCAGGACCGTGAATAATCACACAGGCCATTTGCTTGCAATACACTTGAGGATGAGCGGTACACAGTGCTGCGCAGGACACGAAGCAAGCGCAGACAACAATTGTTGTCCGAAGTTCGCGAAGTAGCACAACGGCTCGATGCCGAATCACTCGGCAACAGCATCAACGAAGTGCTTCTCGCCTGAAGCCGCGCGAGCATTGGGATAGATGGGAGCAGTACCATGCTTCTGCATCAGACTGAGACGCATCGCTTTCTCGTTGTCCGTGGCCGAAAGTCTCTTTGCTTCGGTCAGGGAGCGAATGAAAGAAAGGCTGCAAGAGCTACATTCAGAGTTCCAGCATCTGGAGGACGAAGGCCTGGTCTAGCAGAATGAAAGCGACATGCTGCAGCATGTGCTTCATGAGTCACGTCTCTGCCGATCTTGATCAGGTGTGGCCATGGAGGTCATGGGGGAAGCATTGAACAGTGTCAGGTCGGTTCTTGACATCGCAGAAGTCTGAGACTCAACTCTCTGGACTCTCCTGAGCCCGTACATGGAGAATGAGAACTGGTGTTCATATGTCTCATCATTCGTTAAATAACGGCATCGGCAGCGCTTGTCCCAGGCTGAGCGCCTAGCGATGCCTGCTGAGAAATTTCGGCTGCAGGCAAGGTACTTGCACGGGCCGCCTGTTATTCAGAGATCCCGAGCTCTGTTTGTTTGGTGCCAATGTCGCAAAACTTGTCGCGGCATCGAGGTATTGAATCCAAGGGTGTCGCGAATTTCGACGGTGGAATTTGGAAGTCGGGGATGGGGACTGGCTGGGTTTTACGCATCCGCAACGCGGGCCCCTGCTATCCACCCCATGCCATGCAGGAGAAGAAGGGAGATATGTGGAGAGAGGTGCTGGACCTGCTGCCGACATTGCAAGAGTCGGACTGGGTCCTGGAGTCGAGAAAACGTGCTGCCACTGAGCAACAACACCAGCGGTACCTGCAAGGAGAGAGGAGATGCCGGTGATGAATTCGCGGAGGCTGCAAAGCATCCAGCTGGCACAGAGTTCACTGAGGCAGAGTCGTGACAGCACACAGCACACCATCTCCTTGTCAATGTGCATTCTGAGCACAGGCTGTGGCTCCATGGTCTGCTTCGACGGTCTGCCCCTCTACAAAGACCTCCACTCCGCGAACTCCGCTGGTGTCTCTCCGTGGTGCAGCTTGGCACTCACGCGACGAGCATCAGTTGCATTGTTTGGCATGCTTTTGAAGTCCGGGGCCAGTGTGTCTTCTTCCCAAATCGCAGCACGCGCAGTGTGCAAACATGTTACGTGCGCGATGTTGGTTTTCAATGAATCATAGATTGCCAGGTGCCTTCTTGGAGTTCGCAGGGGATCAAGCTTCAGTTTGGTGAACTCAATGACCACCCCCGGAAAGCTGAGGCACTTGCATTCCCAGAAGCGGCGACCGAAGCTCTTGTTAGTGAGTTTCCTTTCGAAGATTGGCATCCTGTGCCTCTGCCGCCGGTGCCATCACCGGAAGCAATGGAGGATGGCAATGAGCCCCGTGTGTTCCTGCAGACTGTCATGGCCAAAAAGCTCCACGCCAAGATAGGGAAGAAGTCCGCCAATCGCAGGTCAGATGGGTGTCCGAAACTGTCGGGTCAGTTCTGCACGTGATGCTATGGAAGTATAGATTCTTGTTGTAGCCCTTGCGCGATCCTGGGTTTTCGGTGCTTTGGCCTGTGGCGAGGTGCATCTCCTCGATTCGCATGCGGCAAGCTGGAGGTGGTTCCGTGGAGGCAGTGGCGTCTGCGCTGTGGGTCCGCTGCCATCGCTTCGATGCTCCGAAGATCCATGTTTGAAGGATTTTAGCTTATGCTTGTCAACGACCTGTGTACCACGGAGCAAAACTCTTTCGGAGACGTCTTCTCGGAGGGCATCTTAGCATACCCCTCGCCCTGCCAGAGCATGTCATGTCCACGGGACTGGCAGGACGGGAAGGGGGGCCGATCGGGTTGGGCTCACGTGGAAGTCGGCGCTTCTAGCGACCCTTCACTGCCACTGTTGATGACCTCTCCGTCTCGGCGCATCTAGTTCGATTTTTACTTGTCTGTCGAAGCCTCCAGCCATATCGATGAAGTCGTGAGTTTCGTGCTGTCAAGGTTCTGGCCTTTGGTTCCAAGGTTTGAACAATCATCTGAGTCTTACCTAGGTTTCTCATTTTGGTTCATTTGTGGTCTTTGCAACGAGGAGCTTTAACTCCAAGCCTTCGGCTTTTAATGTTCAGTTTAAGGAAGATTGTAGTTTTGCGTGCATGCGGGGGACAGTGCCGGCAACGCGGATCTTCCGGGACCACAGTTTCATCCGCGCAGTTCCGGCTGCATTTGTGCAGCCATGAAGCTACTAACGATCGGAACAGGCCTGCTGCACACAAGTAGCTCCGCCGCACTGCGTACACATACGGCCCTAAGATAAGTTTGCTCAGCAACGAACAGTCAAAGTCTTGAAGAGCTGGCCGGCCGCTTCAGGCAGTAGTCTCCTGGAGGATGCGGCATGGCTTTCGCCCTGACCGTGCATTGCCGCGACTGCCAGACTTCCAGCCGCTGGGATTCTTGGATGTATGTAGTAAGTAGTAGTAACTAGTATTGTTGAGGGTGTTGACGGAGCAGCATCGAATCGATGATACATTGTAGTCACTCAGGATCGCTTGTGTAGTTTCTGCAAGCAGTGAGGAGACTGAGCACATCAAAGTTTTGCACGAGCATGGCAGGTCAAAGCTGGGGCACATCGAGCACGGAAAGAAATCCTGTGGCTCGCTCATATTTCATGCCACAATTGCTTACTGCTCTTGTGACCTCGAATTGCCGACTTTCTTGTGATTGACTTGTGCAACCACCAAGTGATTAGTGCTGCAGCGCACCATAACCAGTTCTAGTCTCTTGTGTTAGAGAAGGGGTTCTTCTTGACAGAACGAGCACACGCCGGCAAGACCTACTTGTGCTGGTTTCCCAGCAGGCATTTGTGTGGACTGTTTGATGGCCGCGGGCCAAGCAGCGACGGATCCACTGGTCCACTCCATAAGTTCCTCGCTGTCAGCCGAATTGCGCGCTGCTTGGCGAGCACTTGCGACAAGCAGAGATATCCAAACTGTTAGGCGAAGCCTGACTGAAAAGCACTTGCTTGGATCCCACAACCAAGGCATCGGGGGTGCGGGGTAAATATGCAGCCCAGCGTGCCTCGGACGAGATTTATGAAAGAAAGAAGTCAGAGGCAGAGAGCCAGCATTTGTGTGGCATCTGGTGCAGGGACTCCAAGGCCATGCAATACGGGCAGGAAGCACATATGACAGTAGCAGCTCAGGTCATCGCTTTCAACGGAGCGTGCAGGCTGAAAGAGGAGACTTCCTCCGCCTGTGAACGGTTGGGTCTTTGCATGTAGAAGGCATTTGCAAATCCCCACGACGCGACCACATGAGCAGCAACTGCAAAAGCATGATGCGGCAAGACATTGAAAGAGTAGCCCTAAGACATCCCGGGATTGTTGGAGTACCCTGAGCATTCTGAGCATTCAGACTCCTGCTTTCAACGTCGAACATCATCCCGCTGCTTCAAGAGCAGCTTGGGTGCGCGAGGGCCGAGGGCAGATCCCCTGGAGTCAAAGATTGGAGGCTGCTACCAGTATCAACTTGCTGTGCCCGGAGTATTCACAAAATTATTGCGTGTGTATAGGCTGAATTTTCTCGAAGTTCCGATATACTGGCTCAAGAGGAGTTGATCCGACGTGCAGTTTTGCAACTTTCTTGTGGTCTCGCCATGGAGCAAGACGATGCCGAGCTTCAGCAGGCGCCGGCCAACGTGTTCACTTTTTTGAAGCAGTTGCCACTCGTGCAGGCCATCCTTCTCAGCCTTGGCGTCAAAGCGCAAAGTGACCAGGCGCGGATCAAGAACGACATGCCGTGGCCGTTTGGCCAGTCGCAGGAAGCTTGTTGCGGATTTCCTGCGTTGGGCTTCGTCCTTGCTTGCTGTGTTTGAGGATCGGTTTCTTCAGAGCCTCGCATCAGCTCCGGACGTAGCCTTCCGAGTGGTTGGTTGCGGAGGTGTGTTTTGCAACTACTTGGAGCGGGCACGCTGAGGCCACCCGCAAACTGCTCGTCACGGTCGCAAAGAACCTTTCAATCTCCGAGCCGAGCAGTGAGGCCCCTCCGCTTCGACATTGCCTCGCCGTTTTATTTTCCCCTCTTGAGGCTCGCTCGAAGTTCCGGCGCTTGCGCGACGAGACAGTCCGGTCACGCACGAGCAGCAGCTATAGTCTGGCGACCGAGGCATTCGCCAGTTTGCTACGCATTGCCATGCACAGTACTGGTGAGTTGCCGCTTTGCGATTTGAGCAGGCTCTTCTAGCACTCGGTTTCCGCTTGGAGACCGTTGAAGGCAGTGTGCTGGCCTGCAGTGCCGACGCAGCGTGCATGAGTGGCTCGTCAGGCAGCGACAATCACTGGCAGATCCCTGCCGAAGCTGAACCTTCCGCGGAGAGACTCGGTGGTCCAGCTGTAGCTCGTGATAGAGTAGAGATCCATGCGGGGCCGCGGCATTTGTTTGCTTTATTGCCTTACGGTGGATGTTGTCTTGCGAATGCTTGGAACCGAACATGAAGGTTTGGTCGTCAAGGCCTTGTGTAAAACCTCCACCCAGAAATCTTGGCATTGTTGCCGGAAGTCAATATCAATCATGCAAGGATGATCCGGGCCGTGATGTCTCTTGAAGTGACGGATGCCGAGAGAACGGCGAGCATGTCTCTTCCGCCTCGAGTCCCCGCAGCGACGGACTGTGATGTGTGCCTTGGTACAGCTGGTCAAAACCAGAGCTCTCAGTCTTCTGGGTAGTAGCAGGTAGTAGGTAGGACCGGTAAGAGAAGCAGATCTGAGGCTCGAGCTTCCGAGCCAAGGCGGGCTCCCCAAGCTGCGACTTGTCGTTTATCCCAGAAACTACTGCCAGCTGGTACCCGAAGAGTGCGTGGCCTGGGCAACTCGCCAGGGAAGTGGCAGGAGCCGATGGGGTTGCCATGGACGTGTAGGAGAAGACGACCGCGTGATTTTGGCCCTCGGAGCTGGTGCGGAGCTCTTGGGAGGTCTTGGCTTTGCAGCTCATTGGTACAACCACCGGGGGCAGGAGCGCTCGATGCCCACGCTATCTTGCCATGCAGGAGAACATGCCTGGGCTGAGACGCACATAAATCAAACTTTCGTGATTCGGGCACTACCTCAGCAACAGCTTGCCTTGTGTGGTCTTCGACTCAGCTGCCGCCCGTTTGAGACGTCAGGTCGTCTGGTTGCAGTGATCGCGCCATGCACCTCTGACATCCAGGAAACTTTGAGACAGTGCCAGGAGGTTTTGAAGTCACTTCCAGAAGACTCACGGGAGCAGAGCCAGGCAATCCGCAGCCGACCACCGCCGCCACCTCCACCCAGTCACAAACACTTCCGCTTCTAGCAGAGCCTAGGCTCTCCGTTTGGATTTGCGCGCTATGGCGGTTGCCGGGACAGTTGCAAGCCGCCAACGAAACCAGGTCGGTCGTCTGTCCCAGACCAATGCGAAGACACAGGACGCATTCCCCTCAAGCTCTTTGGTCTCATGCTTTCGGAAACCGCAACCTGCTGGTGTCGATGACGGCATTGTCGTGCGCATTGTGCTGAATTCGGTCCTGCGGTTCTGAAATGGTCCTGGAGCGCCCTGCAAATTGGCCAATTTGAGACTTACAATGCCACCAACGAGACTGTCGGATAGAAGCCGTGGAGATTGTCAGATGCGAGTACATGTGCTAGGTGTGTCCGGGCGAAGTACTAGCGAGAAGCCAACAAGAACTACTTCCTGATGTCTGTCTTTGTGATCTGCATGAAGAACCGAAGCAAGGTGTGAGGACAGGAAGGGCAAATTTGTCCCTTGTGCGCTCATGGGGAGATGGACACAGATCAAGGTGACAGAACGTCGTGTTCATGGCTTCACAGATTTGAGGCTCGGTCTTGGTGGACAAATACTCGTTGTCCAAGCGGGAGCCGAGAGCAGAGATGCGCTTCAGCTCCGGATTTGCTCGTCAGAGCTTCTGCCCTTGAGAACGCCACCCAGCAGGAAAAGCGTTATATATATATATATATAATTTGCTTCATGTACGTGTACGTCTTCTAGGACGAGAGGAGTGCCTGCCAGTCGCTGGTTCGTGCATTTCGCAGCTGTTGGCTGCTGATGACGGGCAATGTTCCATCCAGGCGTGTGTCCAAAGGCACTAGCTTTCTTCTTAGGCTTGGCAGTTGCAAGAGTGCAGCACTCAGCTTTTCTGACCAACGCTGGACCGTCGATGTGAATGCCGTTGTTGTTGTCGTCCTCGCTGCAGCTTCCCGTTCCCGAAGAATCTGATCAATGGTACAGCGCGGCATCTGGCAGTGCTGTCCCGCGCGAGGACCTCCCTGCTGAGCCGGCTTGCCCCTATCCCCACGTTCGAAACGTCTGCCCGTCTGCCCGTCTGCTGCATTTCTCAAGCCTGACGCATAGACGCCCGAGCACACCCTCGAGTAGAAAAGTCACAGATGCCGAAGGGAAGACATGGCCAATCGAAGCTCGACCATGTATTGGCTCTGCTGTGACATGGTACGTTGGGTGTCAAGATGAATCACACTGCCCAGGAGTGAGGCTTTTTTTGTGGTGTTTACTGCTTCCGCTGCTGCGACATGGAGGCCTGGAGCAGTATGTATAGGCTGCCTCTTGCATGACTTTGCTATGCTTGTTCGTGCATCTGATGGGGATAGGTCAGGTCCTGTCACCGTTGCCGGTGCGTGTTCTGCCGTACGACCAGTGCTGCCTGGCTACATTGGAAGGATTCCTCACACCAAGTCTCAAAAACAAAGCCCAGCTGCAGGCGAGAGGCCAACGGGATCCAGGACGGTGCACTTCGCTCGACATGGCCAAGCGGAGCACAACGTGGCACTGGCTCAAGGAAGATCTGCGCCACAACATGTGGATTCTAGGCCAGGGAAGAGCTGCCAGCTTTGCTCTGCCAGCGAGAGGGGTTGTGGGAGGCTGACGAAATGTGGCGAGGAACAGGCAGCGGGCATTGCGAGGACATTGGAGAAAGTGCCTTGTCCAAAAGAGGCGCTCAATCACCCCCGTCGACTGGCAGCAGTCTGTCGCTTGAGGATGCTGACTGGCCCGATATCGTTCTAACATCGCCTTTGAGGCGCTGCTTGAGAACAGCCCTTCTGGCCTTCCGGCCGAAGGTTGGTTGTGTTTTGGCTCTCGAGGAAGCTTCGCGACTAATGCACTTGCATTGCGCTGTGGGATCCGATGTGGTGCCAGACTGCCGTTCAAGTGCTTCATGCACAGGAACTCCGCGAGCTGGTTTCAGCGTCGCCGCACAACTCACGCCGCCCTGTTGAAGAGCTGAAGATGGAGTTCCCTCAGGCAACTGAGAGCAATGTTATGGCGGACCATGCCAGATGCCTCTTGAAGTTAAACTGTCGAGGTAGATTTCTCCCGCATCTCGACGACTCATGATGGAGTATGGCACCAAGATATGGATCGCGAGTCGAGGCAGTCGTGTGCAAAGCGAGCCCGGCGATTTCTTCGGAGCCTTGGTCATGAACTCGATACGTTTTGCAAGTGCTCTGGGATGTAATTTGTCACATGCATCCCAACTATTCCTAACTCGCTCTCTTCACTGTCTGGTCAATGAAACAACTGCTGCAACGAGACGCAAGGATCCACCAATCTTCGAGACTTTCTCAAAGGCATAAGTTTGACAGGCTGCAGGGGTCACTGCAAGGTCTGTATTGCATGTTTTCAAGTGTTTTATGGTCCTTGACTCGATCGGCTTTATGAAAACCGAAGACCGCACTGAATTCACGACGTGACATTCTGCGGGAAGGTTGAAGGTGTAGGTTGGGGAATGAGCGAGCCGAGCGATGAAAGAAGTTTCGTTTAGATTTTCGTGCAGAGGTTGCTTCTCATGATGCACTTCATGGCTCGTGGTGGTCATCGTCGCAGTCGTGGTTTTAGTCGTAATCGCAGTCGTATTCGCAGTAGTAGTATCAGTATCCGTATTGCTATAGCCTTGGTATGAGTATTTGTATTAGTATTTTGCTTCTTCTTATTATCTGGTGGTGGTGGTGGTGGTGGTGGTGGTACTGGTAGTAAAGTAGTCGTAGTAGTGGTTGTAGGAGTAGTAGGAGCAGTAGGAGGGGGAGGAGATAGAAGGAGGAGTGGGAGGGTAGCAGTAGCATTCTTTCAGACCCTCGTGCGGGTAGTCCCGCACCTTACCCGGGCATCGGGCTAATGATGGCTAATGCTGATGAATTGCCAGCTATGGGACAAGTTTTATGAAACCAACACCCAAACTGACCTAGCGAGGCCAAGGAACAGCAAGGAAGAAACCACATGGGCCAAACTAGGCCAAGCAAAGCAGCTAGTAACGGCCCCATAGCTGGCATTCTTGCCTCGCAGCAATCTGCCAAAAGCTCAGCAAGACTTAGTGGCGTAGGATCGTGGTCGTCTTGGTGGTGGTGGTTTTCCATTTTTTCGGTGCCTTCTTATACTTTTGGCAGTAGCCCGTGCTGCTGCGTCATACAGCTTACAAAGCTCGTCGTGTCAGTATCGTAAAGAAAAAGTCGTAGTTAAATCCCGTGGCTGTGTGCCATACGCCCTCTCACATGCAGTTGTTTAGGTTGCCTTGGCGCGCTCTCATGCCCACATGCATTCCCGGTCTGCGAAGGAGAATCCATGCAGAGGAGCCGATTTGCTCTGCAGCAAAATTGGCGGTTCCTTGGACGATGTGTGCAGGAGCAACGTTTGCGTTGTTTTGCATTACCGCAACCAGGTAGTGTCACACTCGGGCTTTCTATACCTTCTTGCAAATTATGGTCACGCACCCTTGACAGAATTTTGCCTTCACTACTGGTGGCAGGAGTGGAGTTGTGTCACAGTAGACGTGCTTGTGCAGCAGTTTCTATGACATTTTGCCTTCCTGAGGCCTCTCTTGATGGCAGCATGGGAGGACACGGAAGTTTCAAGGGTCCCGGTCCTGTTGGAAGGCCTGGTGCTAATCCGAGCCTTGGTCACATGTGATAAATTGAAAGCAGACAAACTCGGCTAGGACAAATTAGAGCGCAGGCCAAGCTCGTTGCATTTTTTCATAGGGACCGGGGGGGTGGGGGACTATACTTCCTTAAATAGGCCTATTATTAAGTCCTTATTATAGGTATTAAGGCCCCCTACCCCCCTAAGGGTCCTCATGGTTTTTGAGTTTCCCAGAAAGATCGCACATTATGCCTGCCAATGTCGCAGCATGTGATTTGCCAACTGCTCCAAGGATCCTGACATATCCAAAAGACGCGTGGCCTCAATCAGTGAACGTTCTCATTATCCTGGCCTCATAGTCTTCGTAAGGTCGTATGCGCATGCCACGTTCCATGCTCGCCTTCAGGATGCACCCTTATTCGAGAGAAACTTCCGGACATGGTGGTCACAAGGCGAGCTGCGCTCGGTGGCTTTACAGCCCACATGGTCCTCATCTTGAGCTTTGGGGCTGAGTTGGACAGCCGGTCTTCTTGACGACATGCCATGCTTCTTGACGATGCAAAGAGACCACGGGCGGAAATGTCAGCCGTTTGTAGGAACGAAGCTCTTCGTGGGATTTGTCTCCGTGGAGCGTCTGACGCAGTTCGCTTCCCGCTTGTGGGCAAAGCCGATCAGCCGAACTCTCTCAACTTGTACTCCTGCCTTGTGTGAGTGCGAAGCTAAAGCCGGCGGCAGAAGCACGAAGCGCCCGATCTTCTGCCGTGGATCCTGCCGACCTCGGGCCGGGGTGCAGTCCCGGAAGTGGCGCGAAGGTCGAAAAGTTCTGTTGACCCAGGAAACCAATGGGCCCCGACAGCTACACACAGACACTTTCCCGAGGAGCTGCTCGGCTCCTCTCTTGTAAGGGCTTCGGGCCTCAGCCGGTTCCGGTGTGTTTTGTGATTTTGTCTCCTGTATGCTAGCCGTAGGTCGGGTCCCATCACGGCTTGCTCGTCTCGAAGAACGGCACCGCGCTTACGTTTTGGGGGGGTCATGAACAGGTCGATGCTGGCTGAGCCTCTGGCCTGTGCTGAGGTGTACAAGCTGTTCATGGCCAAAGAGACGATTTCTTGCCAACTCAGAGATGACCTCAGCGATAGTTCTCTAGCATGTGAAGCTGAAGCTGATGTAGTCGTAGGCCAGAGCTTTTGCATGCGCTAAAATCGGCCGAGCAGGCCAGGCCTTCTTGCAGTGGTTATTCTGATTGCCCCATCTGCGCCCCACTGCAAGTTGCAGGCGCGGGCGGGGCTTCGTGCACCGTGCCGGTTTCCCGGCTTGTGGAATGCATTTGGACAAGTCTTTTCAGCGTTTGTCGGTCCCGATCTGAAAGGTCCCCCTGCAACGGAAGGGTCACCTTCATGTCGGTCCTGGTGTAGACGCATCGTGCCGGGCCGACCCGTGGAAGGAAGGTGCATCTGACGCCAACACGCGAAAGAGATGTGCTTCGCAGAGTGGCACGTGGCAGGCTCGAGGGGTCCTGCCTGCGGAAAGAAGGAAGCGAAGGCCCTCGGTGCCTGTGTCAGGACTGCACAGGGCTTAGCAGCTTAGCAACATCACGGTGCATCCGTGATCGTGGCAGGAGGAGGCTGAAACTCTGGCATCTTGCCTGATGCACTGTGAGGCGACCGAGGCTGGGTTTCCGAGACCGAGACATGTTTTTGCGCAAGCTTGGAGTTTGGAAGCCCAGCGAGGACGTCGTGGCACCGCCATCGACCGTACCTGCACCGAAAACTGGTGCATCGGTCAAGGCAAACGAAAGCTCCGGATGTTCATGCAAAAATTGTGGTGTAGCTTCCTGGAGGCATCCAAAGCTGATGCGCCCGCAGAGCCGCGATATTTGCTGTATGCATCTTGGCCGTGTTACCGTGCCGCGCTCACTCGACTTGAAAGCCGCGATCGTGCCGGCTTGGAAACAGGACACCCGCTACCACGTCGGCTTCATGGCACAGGCATGCAGGGCATGTCTTTGAGGTGCTCTTGCTCACTTGTTGTCCCCACGAGTGTGGCCAACTGGGCCGCCCAGCTTGTGAAATGTGTGCTTGTGGGAGGAACCTGAACTTGCCGGGAAGCACACGTGGTAATGCCATGTGGTACTGACGCACGACAACTGCATGTTGAGCACCGCACGCTGACAGGCAAGGGAAACAGCGGGTGTGAAATGTGCGTTCGATAAATTGCAAGTCGAATTACTGCTCACAAATCGTGGGCACTGAAGCTGAAGGTCAGTTGTGCTGCCGCATGCTGCCACACAAGCACCTGCCTCTGCATGTATGCATGTACGCATGTATGGATGCTTGCCTGCTTGCTTGCTTGCTTGGTTGCTGGCTGGTAGATGTATGTGAGCAATGGATGCGTAGGTGCATGTGCAGATGTGTTTGCATTGGTGCACGTGCTTTAATGTATGTATGTGCCACGTATGTTTCTGTCTGTGTGGAAAATTCAGCGTGTCTTTTGTTAACAGAGGAACATCCCCATCTCCGCCTCCTGTGAACTCATCAGCTTCCTTTTTCGGATCTCTGACTCTGCCCTGCAGTGTCGGCTACAGCTTTCCTGGCTATCAGTCGTTCCGAAAGCCTTTCGGAGCTTCTTCGGTTGCCTAAGCCGCCCCTTCGATTGTCAGTCGTGACAAGACAGTGCAAGACCACCTCCTCGGCAGCGCTAGGGAAGCCTTGCAGAGTCCCAGCCGGACACATTTCAGGAAGCTTTGCCGCAGATAGAAAACAGCCAGTGGAAAGTCACTGAAGCAGCTTTCCTTTCAGAGCATGCTAGGTTTTGGCAGGGGATAGCTTGCGCTCTTCAGAGCTCCTTAACGTGGATGTTCCGGTGCACACAAACATCGGGGGGTCAACGGAGTGTCAGCCTCAGACAGCTTGGCCTACCTCCACCGTGTCATTGCTCAGTGCGTTTCGATGACGTGCCAGGTGGAAGTCTTTTTCGTCGCCCTTGAACTCGTGTCTCAGCTAAACAGGCTGAGCAGTGCTGGCCCCAGAGAGCTTCGCGGAAACAATGCGCTTGACAGGCGCCTCAACACTGCGTGCAAAGATGCGGGAGGTGCTTGCGGTTCAAGAGAGACTGATCGGGATCACGCATCCACAATCCAGATTGTCAATACCGACGACGCTACAGGACCTAGTTGCCAACCGTGGACACTGGTGCTGCCGCCCGGGGCACACACGGACAAGCGGGACTAGCGCTAGATGATCGCTTCTATCTCATCAGGCCATGGTGTTGGGTACCTCGGTGGTACCATGCGGATGCATCACGGGGCAGACCGTCCGAGTCTCAAAGACACGGGTAACCAGCTCGCAACCGATTGTCAGCTTGTTGGAGCGAACATCAGTCGTATCCCTAGGTGGAGCGACCTGTTCAACCTCGAGGGTTTGAAGGCTGAGGCTGCAGCCAGTTGTGTCTTTGCAAAGTGGTGCACAGTGTTGCATGCTAGAGCATTCAGGTGGCGGTGCTCGACTATGCCAGTCTCGGGAACTCCGCAGTAGATGTGGGGGTGGGGGTCTCGATACTGTGCTCGCTAGTATTCATGACAAGCTCGTCGTTCATAAAATTCATGCACTGCTTCGGAGGTGGTTTTGGTGCCGGGTGGTCGAACTCCGCAGCTCAAGGCCCCTCAAAGGTGTGTTGCATAGGGAGCATAAAGAATCCCCGCAGGATGGTCATGGTGACTTTCTGGGCTTCACCAAGGACTTGCAGGCCTCGGGCCTCGCAGTGGAGAAAAGAAGGTCTCTGTGGTTTTTGGCTCCTGGGCAGGCCTGTGAATCTCACGGCCAGCAAGTCCCCCAAGCTGGCAGGAAGCAGCGCGCAGCTCTTGGCTGTCTATCGAGCCTTTTGCGGCCTTGGGCCATGACAAGTCCGCTTGCAACGCAACTGAGACTGAGGTAATTCAGTGGTCTATTCCGGGTGTGCCGACCTGCAGTGGCTTCCCTACGAAGGGAGCTGCTTCGTTGCTCGGTTGCGGCTCGAAGGTACTGCGACGAAGACCTCGCAGTGAAGAATCTGAGATGTGGAGCTACTTGGCTGCTGGCAAGGATGTTCCCCTTCACTTTCCTGAGTCCCGTGCAAACAGCTTTAAGGTCGTGAGAGAGAGCTCTCTCAAGGCAGAGCATCGTCGACAGTGGCTTTGGTTCGACACGTGCACTTCCCTGAAAGGCCTTGGTGGACCTCGCGGAGAATGTCAAGGGGAGGACCGCCCGCACCACCCCACCAGACCCGAGGGGCAGTCGAGCGCCGCTGTTTCTTGCTTCGCCTTTCTGGCCCTGAGGAGCCTCTTGGTAAAGCACCTCGATGCACTTCGGCTGCTCTGCTGCAGGGTGTTCGGCTTGAACACGAGAGGGGGTGATGAGGATAGTGAGATTTGTGAGTATGATGGCGAAATAATGATGAAGACTTTTACGATGGTTGTTCGAGTTCTTCGAGTTGTGACTCTGACAGGTGTACTTCTTAGCCTAGTACCCATGATTATGGGCATCGCTTTTGTCAGAGTTGTGCTGCTGTTGCTGCCGCTAGTTTCATGCGTTTTGTTGTTTCATGAAATCGCTTTGTTTCAACTCGTGTGACTTCATTTCATTTCGCTTCGCTTCGTTTCATTTCTCTTCGTTTGATTTCGTTGCATCTCATTGCATATCCCTCGAGTTTCGGTTTTTGTCATTGCAATGGGGACTTCTTATGTCGTGTCACGTCATGTCATGTCAGTTCATTTCATATCATGTCGTTTCCACTGACTTTTGTTGTTGAGTTTCACTTTACTCCCAGATCATTCCGTTCCATTCCACTCCAGTCTTGTCGTGTCTTGTCATTCCTTCATTCGTAAAGTTAAATCTTTTTTGATTCCGCCATTCCTTGCTTCATTGCTTCCATCATTTGTTGATTACTTCATCTTCGCAAACTGCGTGGTTCCTTCACAAGTTGTTCCCATTCATTCATTCATTCATTCATTCCTTCATTCCTTCATTCGTTCATTCGTTCATTCGTTCATTCGTTCATTCGTTCATTCGTTCATTCGTTCATTCGTTCATTCGTTCATTCATTCATTCGTTCATTCATCCATTCATCCATTCATTCATTCATTCATTCATCCATCCATCCATCCATTCCATTCCATTCCATTCCATTATTTATTCATTCATTCATTCCATTCCATTCCATTCCATTATTTATTCATTCATTCCATTCCATTCCATTCCATTCCATTCATTCATTCATTCATTCATTCATTCATTCGTTCATCCACGTTGGACAAGGCCGTCCTGCAAGGAGGAGTCGTCAACAAGCATTCGCGCATGGTGTTACCGCAGTACCATGAGGCTTCCGCTTCCGAAGACCAGAGGTCATTACCGGATGGCTCCACAGAAATTTTTCTGCGCATGGAGGGCATTTTGCACTCACGGAAAGAGGCTTCGCAGACCTGTGGCCAGCACGTCAAGCCAGAATCTCATATTGTGCATTTCTCGTTCTCTGTCCGATCACGCCCCAGCGGACTGCAAGGGTGTGACGATATGCAGTTTATGTGTGCGTATCTGGTTATGCGTATGCATGCAGAACTATAACAGACATGTCCGGTATGTATGTTGGACAGAATGCTCTAGATTTCGAGCTCAGATAGCTGTGAGGCTTCACCATCCAGAAGGCTACCGGGACGGTCTCTGACGCTGTGGTTGAGCCTGTTGGGACGATGGACAGCTCGACCGTGCAAGGTGGTCTGGTCATGAAGTTCCATCACATGCAACGACCTCATTCTGGAGGGGCTGTGCTAGATACACTTTATCAGATCACTTGTTCTCAATGTTGCAAGCCAACATCCTGCCGGATTGACATGTTCGGTTTGAAACAACTATATAGTAAGCCACCTGGAAGTCAAGCTTTTGCTGACGTTCTTACCAGCCCAAAGGGCATCAGGGGTGAGACCGCCGAGGCTTGCTCCAGCTCCAGCTCTTGTGACATCAGCTAAGAAATTTGCAGACTTGGCGCTGGGCCCGCCGGATACCCACGCACGTTGATCAAACTGGCAGACGGGTCAATATCCGACACCTAGGCTACCCTATCTCGGGGTGCACATTCGGCGGAATGACTTCGTTGTCACACACGCCGTGGAGCTGACGCTGCTTGCAGAGCTGCCAGTGTGTTTCTGTGCGCACAATATTCAGCACAGGCTTAGGACAAGCCCGTCACCGTTTTCAAGCGTCTCGAGCAAGGTACACACGATCGGCCCAGATGCATTCGCATGGTGACACAGTGTTGTGTAACTTCTGATTGTCCCAGATCTCATATTTGGGCATATTTGGGGAGGCTAGAGCTCGACAGAGTCTTGAGTCTTGTGTGCCACGAGCCATGGCATCTTTGTGGTCAGTACATGATGCAATGCAAGCGGTGCCGAACACTGGCGCCTGCCATCTTCGCTTTCCTTGCAGGCGCAGACAGTTGGAAGAACGAACGAAGATACGACGTCAGATCTGGTAGGAGGAGCACACCGCGTGAGGAGAGAGTCTGGGGGTGCATTGAAGCAGTGCATGTTTGAGCCTCCGTGTCGTGTACCGAAGGCTTCTTCTGGCTGCAAAGGGGGCTTCGCAGCTCCGAAGAAGAAGGTCCTGACTTGGCAAAATTGATCGACGAGATGGTCATCCCGGATCAGGAAAATGGTGCAAGCTGGGGTGGGTTCAATGGGGTCCGGAGGCACAGAAAGCACTGCAATGTACATTTCTCCTAGTAATGCTTTCTTGTCCAGCACCATGCCTCGAAGAGCTTCTGCGCCAACTTCTCCCTATTTTGTCAGAAAAAGCAAAAGCCGCTGCTCAGCAACTTGATTGCTAACACCGCTCCTGTCAGGACACAGTTGAGCTTCCTTCGGATTCCAAGGATGTGGGCGCCCCACTCTTGACCGAAGACCATGCAGAACCCCCACAAGAGCGCGGCAGAATGGTCGCCGTCGTGGTTGTGGGCCAGTCGCGCTTGCTCCTGCGGCTCATCACGAAAGCTCGTATGAGCAGAGAACTTTCACGCCGGGCTCTGGATGTGCTGAAGCTGCGCGGTATTTCGACCGTGTTTCGCTCGCACGTGCTCCACGTGCTGCAGCCATTGCGCTTAGATGGCTTTATTCCGGAGTACTTGCTCTGTGTAGATCGGATCGAGGGTCAGCTGCCCCCAGAAGTGGCGCAAGCTTGGACCTTTGCTGCAGCCAATCAGCTGCGCAGGATGAAGGCATGCCTTACGAGGGTGCAAGAGAGAGAAGCTCTGCGAAATCAGAGCTACAGTTTCTTTGTTCGTTTGAGACCGGACTTTCTTGTCCTGACAGATATCCCCAGCCTGCGCACATCAGCTGTAAACAAAGGCTGTGTGCTGTCAAGACTGCGGGCAGCCATAAATATTGCTGGACTGACGAACGAGCATCTCTCCTACTGCTATTGTGGCAAGGGCTGTTGCTCCAAGAACACCCTAAAAGGGCGTGGAGCTGGCTTCATTGTGGATGACATGCTGGCTGTGGCAGCGAGAGACCTGTTCCTGCGACTATGGCAGTCACGGGTGGCGAAGGAAGCGCAACCACGGTCGTGGCCTGTCATGGCGCCCATGGCAGAGACTGGCTTTACTACCACAATGCTCCAGAAACGAATTCCGGTCTGTCCACTAGCATTTCGTGGACTCCCGCTCGGGAGCTCCAATAATGGCCATGCCGTTGAGGCTGCAAAATGCGGCTATGTGGAGGGTGATGCTCCCGTGCCGCAGACCTCTTGCGGCCCAGCAAAGGCAGTTGCCGACCAGCTGCACTTGCTCATTGCGTCTGCACCAAAAAGGCAAGCGACCACGTGACGTGTCCAGCCGCTGATGCTCATGCACAGTGACCCGTGTCAGGTGACCACCCCTAGCGCAACGGCCGCCGCCTCGAGAATCAACCGGCTGCTGAAGAAGCTTCGGCCTTAATGCTGAAGGGAACGGAGGGGTCTGCGAGTGGCGAGTGGGGGCGGACGCCTTCGAATCTGCGTAGGAAACTTACCCGTGAACTGTCTCTTGCCAGGAGGCAACTGGAGCAGGTGTTCGTGGCAGGTGATGCCGACGAAGGCTGTGTGGTGCCCGTGTCTACCAGTGTCGGTTGCAGCCGAGCTGATTGATATCACATTTCTGTGATTAAGAGGGAAGTCTGCTTCAGCCCATGTTGCAGGATTTCGTGCTGATCTCCGCTCGGGCGTGAAAGTTGTGTGTGCCTTACAGCTGGCCAGCGATGACGAGCCTCGTTGCGTCACGTTGTGTGGCAGACTGCAGATTAACAGAGGCTTTGTATTTCTTCTCGCAAGACGATGGGGCTGAGCTGCCAGTGGCTGAGCTGCGCAGCCGAGGGCTTTGTTATCCTGAAGAGCTGAGATTCTTTGGTCAGAGGCCCGAGCTCCGGGGTCAGGAGGAGCTCATTGAGCTGCAGCTCGCGTCGCAAGCAGAGCTCGGGCCCCGGTAGCCGGTTTCGGTCCCTTTTTAGGGCGCTTCTGAGTTGCAGTGTGTTGCAGTGCTGTTGTTGTTCCCTCAGGTACTTCATTGGCTCTGCAGGATCAGCATTCTCAGCAGCCGTGAGGCGACAGCGGCCTTCGACTTAGATAGACGGACCTCTCCTAGTAGTCGCGAAAGCATGGCATTGGCCTTCAACCGGTTGGAAGCATCGTCTGCGACTGGAAATTAATCAAACATCTGGTGCTGTTTCAACCCTCTGTGTCCTAAACTTGGGGTGATGAATCGGCGGCAGCCAAAAGTACAGGTAGATCACACGACATGGACCGGAGAAAGACGGAGAGAGCTCTCCTCTCAAACTCCGCAGCAAGAAGCGGGGAAGCTGCACAGTTCGGTGCTTTCCGCAAAAAAGATTTTCATGTATCCCACCGTTCTGCTGCTTTCCACGGTTTCTGTACCGAGAAGTAACGCAAGCCGGAAAAGAACTAGCCGGCCCTAACCTCAAAAAGGCGACAACGCATGACAGGCTCCGCCTGATGTGGAAGCTTCTAGCTATTGAGGCAGCGGCTTGGCCATCCACTGTCAACATCTGACGAGGCTCGAAGATATAGTATGGAGAGGTTGAAATACCTGAAGCGCAATGAAATCCAGGACGTGTGTCCTGTGTGTTCGCGTGGGCCTAATTAGTCAGGTCTTCTGCGCCAACCTCACGGCAGAGACCTCACGCAAGCGATGCGCAGCGGAGTAGCTCCGCAGCACTGCAGATCGGCAATTCAATTTGTGGCACTTGACACACATTCCGAACCAGTGCGACGTTCAGTGTTCGCAAACATTGTTCGTTGGAACAAATTGAGGGTACAGTTGCCTGCGGCGGTAGATATGTGGTCTCCTGCTAGTAGCTCCGGTTGCTCTCCCCACACTCTACGGCGTGAGGGAAATCGAGTCTGTTTTAACTTCTGCAAGCATGCTCTATTGCGAGTGCTGCGAAGCTCGCATCTTACGAGGTATCGTTATGCTACAGTCAGCTTTAGGCTCTGGCAGCTATCGCTTCAGAGCCAGCGACTTCGCATCTTCAGAAGCAAACACCAGCCTTTGGATTCGGCCTCGAAACGGTTCGAATGTGGTGATAAGCGAACGGAGACACAAGACGCATCGGCCGGTAGAGCTCACATTGGATGTTGTACAGAAGAGGGGGCCTGACCATGTTCACGCAACTCATGCCAGGTCATTGTAGGGCCTGTAGGTTGATTTTACAAAGTTTCCTTGTACAAATCTTCACGAGTTAGCTCGGGATCGGAGTTCGAGACAGGGATTGCGGGAAGGGTTTAAATTTCTCGGGCTCTTTGAGGGTGCAGGTGTGTGCTGGCATACGTGTGGTACCGTGCTTGAACGGATGTGTTTGGTAGTGCACGCAACGGACCCCGCCGAAGCCACCTGGTTCGAGCGAGGATCCGTTTCCGCAGTATTTTCTGTAGGTTTCTTGGATTCCTGCTCCCGGATGGCTCGAGGCCAGAATGGATTTTAGTCTGCCTCTGGTCCCCTGCTTGCTTTGCCCTTCTTTGGGAGGCAGACGACGGGGGCGTCACCGCAGACGTCGATATTTCGACGTCTTCTGACCGTCGGGACACGTCAGGCCGGATTTTCCGTCTGTCTGTCCTCCTTTTTGGCCTGGCTTATGGGTCAGGTTCTTCTTCTTCTCGTGACCGTCGCCGTTGCCGGCTCAGTTTCTCAACTGACCGCGTGGCTCGTGCATGTTCTGTCTTAAAGGTCCGAGATCTTCTTCATCGGGCTCGCGCAGCCGGCTCAGTTTCTGACCGCTGCCGCTTGCCGATTCACCTGGTGCACCTGACTTATCAGGTCGCCGTTCACGTTCTCCCTCTTTACGGATAGTGGGCACTTCGACGCCGCAGGACTCCTTGCTCCTCTGCGTCAGGTCTGTCTGTACTGTTGCAATTGCTTCTGCTCTTGAGGGACGTGTTATTTGCCGCAGCCGTCTTGCTCACGTCCGTTGTGCCCTCTCTTCATCCTTTCCCTCCGTCTGCCAACGATGACGGCTTCATCTGCTCCTGGCCCTGCTCCGGACCGCTCTTTTGAGCCCTCACCTTCTGAGGCCACGACTTCTCCGGACCCACGTCGTGTGCGCTCCGCGGAGGCTCCTGCTGCTGGTGGCGCCGGCCCCCTCCCCCACTTCTCTGGCTGACGCCGCTTCTGAAACCGACGTTCCGGTGGCCCCTGCAGAGGGCGAACCGACTCGGTTTCTGGAGCCGGAGACAGGTACTTTGGCCGCATCTGCCGAGCCAAAATCTTCTGCTCCGACTCCGCCGTCTGCCGCTTGGAGCGACATCGTGTCGTTCCTTGACAATCCGGAACCGGCCATAGCCTCTGCTTTTTCGAGCCTCCCGACTTCTGATCTGCTCAGTTTGAGTGCGGGTTCTTTGTCTGCCATTTCCGCCAGGCTCGCCTGGTACGACGGCAGCACCGCACCCGCCCTGCCTCCGGTTGTTCCGACCCCGCCTCCTTCCTTGGGAGGTCGCACGGGTCCGCCGGTGAAGGAGCCACCCCCCAAGGGGGCCAGTCGCGCGGGACCGATTCCGCAGCGAAAGGCATGCCCGCTTCCGCACCCGAACATGAACGCTCCGCCTGCCGCTCCAGAGCGCTCCAACCCGTTGGCGGACGTCGCTGCCGGCAGTGGTGCACCGCCTCCGGCCCCGGAGGTCACCGCACCCGCAGCTGCCCCTGAGACGACTGGGCCCCCTGCTTCCCGCACCCGCGCTTTCGATCCCAACGATTTCTGGGAAGCGGGTTGGTCTGCCCAGCTTGACCCTCGCGGTCTGCCTCCGGACACCTACCGTTGGGTTGACGTCACTCCGCGTCTGCCGCAGCAGCTCCAGTCCGCTCCCTGGAGCTCCAGGGAAGGATGGCAGATCCGCGTCAACACTCCGACGACCGCTGGAGTATGGCACAGCCCATCCTGGTGGCCTTTTCCGGATCTGTTTTGTCTGCGTCCGGATGAGCACCCGGATTACATCACTCCGCTTGCTCCGGCAGAGCCTGCAGCACCTCGCCTTGCGAGGCTACTGCACGCATATCTGCACCCGCCTAGCCAGCAATTCCGAGGGGAACAGGTGCCTCGGTCTGTGTCTGCGTCCGATTTGGTGGGCGAAAGGTCCGGTCATGACGGGCACACCTGTTTTCACTGCCTCACGGGCAGGTGAGCCTCCCGTCCGTTTCCGCCCCTGCCCGGTGCCTGATGCCGTAAGTGCTCGGCTGCTGGGCCGCGTCCGGTTTCGGCCGTTGGATTTTCTTTTTCAAACATCCCTAATCGAGGGCGAGCCTCCGGTTCCCCTCTGCCTTCTGCGGCTGAATCTTTATGATTCGATCTGCCCGCCGCTTTCTCTTCTGCAGCTGTCGGCATCTGCCCGTCTGCCTGCCGACCCTCTACCCCCCGCCTTGCGGTTGCTCTAAAAGAGTGCGCGTTTTTGAGTTTCCTGCTGTGGCGGCTTTTGCTTTCTTTCCCTCACTGTTCTGTCTGTCTTGCTCAGGACCCCGACTTGCTGCTCTTCGAGACAGGCCCTGGGCTTTCACTCTTGACGTGTCGGCTGCTTGCGTCTGTCAGGTCTATCTGGTCCTCCTCAAGCGGATGCTGCGGAGCCGAGCGGTGCCGATGAGTCAGGCTTTTCTGCCTTCGGCATCGGCTCCTCTCCGCTTCCGGACTTCGTGCACACCCTGCCCGGCATTCGTCCCAGCGGAGCGCCTTCAGCCGCCGTGCCCGACTCTCCGCTTGGCCTGCTGGTTACTCCTAGCCCGCGTCCGCATCTGCATACCTCTCCGCCCTCGGCGTCTGCCTCTCACATCGGGGTTCCCTCCCTGCAGGGCTCCCTTAACACAAGAGATGACGTGCGCGGCTGTGAAGGATGGAGGTTACCCTTAGCTCTTCAGCCTGAGAGGCAGAAGGGGAAGGAATGCCGGTGGGATAGTGAAGAGTCCGCACCGGAGCAGGGCCGCCAGGACGCAAACGGGCCCTGGAAAAGGCGGCGCAAGGCGGAGCAGCCCCAGCTGCACCGACCAATCCCGAAGCACAGAGACGACAGAGGCGGTCAAAACAGGCGTCATCCAGCAGGTCTGACGCGGAAGCAGCAAGTTTGTCGACAGGCGCGAAACAAGCCTTGCGAAGGTTCTGAAGTGCAGACGTCACAGGCGCGGAGGAGCCAGAAAATATGTCCAGGAACAGCCTGGCTGCTGGAATAGAAGGAGCCGCTGAGGTGGCCTCAGACGGCGACTGCAAAGGAGAGGCGGCAGGCGGACCATCCTTTCGTACAGGCGTCCGTGGGCTGGAGCTTCGCAGCCGCGGAGGCAGAGGCTGGCGGCACCGGCAGACCCAGAGTAGAAAGCCCCGGAATGACACGCGGTGGAGCAGCCAAGGCAGCCTCGGACAGAAGGCGACGGATACATCGGATACACGCCGCATCTGCAGAGACGAGGCCGGCAGCTACGTTCTCATCAGACAGACCCAGCAGGGTGCGGAGAAAGATCTTGACCTCCTCGGGATCGGATGGGTCCGCGAGGGCGTAGGCCAAGGAGCTGAGGGAGGATCGAGTACCTCTTCGCCGCTAAGGCCGACCGAACCGCCGCGGAAGCAGCAAGGTGCTCCAGCAGGGCCGAAAGCGTCGCCGGATCGTCCAGACGCGGACGGGCGGCTGCGGCGAGCACAAGACAGAGGCACAACAGACCGACAAAACAAAACAGCGGCATAAGGCGCACTGTTTTGATAGGCCTGTCCCAGGCGGCTCCGAGTGGACTGGTACCCGTGCAACCGGTGGCAACGGGCACAGGCATGCGTGCGATGCCCCCTGCCCCGGATAGGGCGACCGCAGAGTCGGTCGCAGTCCGGGTTGACACACGGCAGCATGCACAGGTCCGGTGGAGCGGACGACGGAGGAACCGTGTGCATGCCCAGGACCCTGCCACGGTCGCGCCCCCTCCGCACGATAGTGGGTTCGGAACGTGCGCAGGCAAAGAGTGGCACCCTTAGGGAAGTCGGGGAGGAAGCTGTCTTGTGCCAGCTGGGAGGTCCGGGCACCACAGATGGGTCGGAGCCAGAGATCCTCGCCGGACTCAGAGGAGTACAGCTTGGACCGGATGGCCCGAGGCTCCGTGGCCACTGCGACGTGAACCACGCCTCGTGGATTCCCGCGGTGGTCTCATCTGGCTTGAGAATCCCACCTCCTCCCTTCTTTGGCTGGGCCCAGAAGTCATCGCCTGGATCCGCATGTTCTGCCGCCACGTCGCCACGGTTGCCGGATGTCATCACGGCCTAGACCAACACAAGGTCACAAGGCCTGGTCCTTTTGCTCTAACTCTTCTGAGGTTGCGGCCCTTGCATGTGTCTGCCCTCACCCTCTAGGCTTTCACGCCAAGGTGTCCGGCAAGCGTTTGGCGGATGGCTCATTTGCCACTCGCCTTTCCGCATGCTACCCTCCGTCCCTGGCTGCAGCCCTGGCTCGCCCGGCGGCTCCCTTTCTTTCTGATGCCCTGCCGCAACAGCCTTACCCGCTCTCGGCCTGGCTGTTGCCGCCTCGTTTTATTTGGCCCGCTCGGCCCCACAGAGTTGAGGACGGGGCGGGTACATGCAGCACTGCCTCCGCGAGGCCAGTTTCGTCTGACCCGCTGTCCTCGCTTCGGGCAGCGTGGACCAAACGCCTGCTTGCGTCCGGTCTTGCCCAACGCATCGCTGCTTCCCTTAACTCCGGGTCTAAGTCTCCTCCGTTGTCTGAGGCTGAGGTTGCTCCCTTTTTCAATGACCTTCGGTCCTTTCTGCATGTGGAGGACGACACCACCTGGAACCGTCTGCTTCTGGTCCAAGAGGGTCAGCCGTTTCGGCTCAATCTCTGGCACTGCCTCCCGCTCGTTTGTGCAGACCCGGACTCGGGATATTTTGATCTTCTCCGCTCTGATTCCTACGTGTCCGGTCATGCACCCTCCTCCTTCCCCGGATGCTACGGTCATCCCGCTTCAGCATTGTGAGTCCGCCTGAAAGTCTGCTATTGATCATGCAGATGTGGTGGATGAGTTGCTCGAAGCTGAGCTGGCCGAAGGCTGGATCGCTCTGGTTCCGGGAGGGGATAGTGAGCTGCGCCGCCGCTACAATCGTACGGCGGTCGGCAAACTCGGCGTCGTAATGGCTGAGGGACGTCCTCCGCGTCTGGTGGTCGACAGCTCTGTGTCGGGGGTCACGAGCAACACTGCTCTGCCCAACCGTTCTGCTAACCCCACTCTGTCGGACGTCTTCTTCTGTATGCCTCTCTCCGATTCCACGGAACGCCTCGTTGCTTTGATACTGGATGTTGCTAAAGCGCATCGCCGTATTCTGATTCGTGCGCTTGATCGCGGTCTTCTTTGCTTCCGCCATCGTGGGAAGCTGTATCAGGTTCTCACACTGAACTTTGGGGCCCGCGTGTCATCTTTTTACCGGGCCCGCGCAGCCGGCCTGCTGCTTCGCCTCGTGCACCGCATTGTCCGCGTCCGACACTCGGCTCAGATCTACGTTGACGACATCCTGGCCCTGTTGGATGCCATTTCTGCTCCGCTTTGGGCCTCCTTAATTGTCGTCCTTCTGCTGGTTCTGCGTGTGCCCATGTCATGGCACAAAGCCGCTTTGGGCCCGTCTGTTGTTTGGATTGGCTGGGAGTTTAACTTGTCACATTTCTGCGTGAAGTTGGACCCCGGCAAGTTCACACGGCTCTGTGCTCTGCTCCGGCAGGCCCTTTTGTCCAAACGCTGCTCCTGTCACTTGTTGGAGCGCGTCACAGGCAAGCTCCTCTGGCTTTCCTCACTGTTCCGTACTTTTCGCCCTTCTCTGGCTCCGCTTTACTCGGACCAGCACGCCTTGCTGCCCACCATGACAGCGCTTCAGCCTGAGCGTTGGCCCGAACTCTTGCAGGCTCTAACTCCGGACCTCATCCTGTTACGTCCTATTGGTGTGGCAGCCCTTCCGCCGGGTTCCAAGATCCTGCGTGTTAATCAAACTGCGGTTTCCTGCGGCGATCTTCCTCGGCAGGCTCCAGATGCCCGTCGCATCTGGCTTCAGTCTTCGTCTCCGCACACAGGGATGTGTGTTCTGTCCGACTCTTCCCAGGAGGTGCTCCGACTCTGGTTGGATCTCTGCCAGTCTGGTACGGCCGTTCGCTCTTTGCTGCGCCCGCCCCTCTACGTCTGTGAAGCTTTTGCGGACGCTTGCACCACCGAGCTGTCAGCAAGGCTCGGGGGCTTTGTTCGTCTACCGGACGGGCGCCAACTCTTCTTCCGTCAGTCTTTTGACCGTCAGGAACTTCATCGACTCTTTCCCTGGTTCCCTGACACCGCTTCTGCTCAAGCCTTTATCGCCAGTTGGGAATTGCTGGCGCAGTGCGCTCTGGTTGTCTTACTGGACGTACTGTTGGGACCAGGGGCACCTTCCGGTGCACTGCGTCTTCAAATGCGACAACTCTGCTGCCGATGCAGCGAGCTGGAAGGGTCTGTCTATGGCCAAGGGTCTTTGCTCTGTGCTCCGATCTTTCCTGCTCTGCCAGCAGGTGCGTCGTATCTCTGTTTACATTGATCACGTTCCGGGATTATCTAACGACGTTGCTGACGCCTTGAGTCGCTCTACTGACCCTGCGTCTCTGGGGTTCGAGATGTCCCAGGAACATTGCATCCCTTGGGACCAGTTTCCGTCTTCTCCGGAACTGTCCCTGTTTCCGTCTGCGGCGGATTTTTCTGGTTTTCTGTGTCCGGGTGGCTCTTGCTCTGCTTGATTCTCCTTTTGGCTGGTCCCACGGCTGTTTTCAAGCTTCCGGCTCGAGGTTTCCATTGGTTTTCCAGCCAGAGAGAATGCGGATCGACACTGCATCCGGCTCTGGTCCTGGTCCGAGTTCTGCTTCCCGACCAGGGCCACCTGAGCCCGGACTGCTTTACGCCACCGGACAAAAAGAAGCCGTCGATGCTGCCGTTCTGTAGGGTTTACCGCTACTGTACGCGCACTAGACTTTTTGGCGTTTAAGGAAACGGACTGTGCACTCTGAACGGTACCGTGCTTGAACGGATGTGTTTGGTAGTGCACGCAACGGACCCCGCCGAAGCCACCTGGTTCGAGCGGGGATCCGTTTCCGCAGTATTTTCTGTACCAGCCACCGTCCCCTTCTGTCCGCCTCCCATTCTCTTCTGGCTCCCCTGGATTTGGGGATGGTTTTCCAGCCAGAGAGAATGCGGATCGACACTGCATCCGGCTCTGGTCCTGGTCCGAGTTCTGCTTCCCGACCAGGGCCACCTGAGCCCGGACTGCTTTACGCCACCGGACAAAAAGAAGCCGTCGATGCTGCCGTTCTGTAGGGTTTACCGCTACTGTACGCGCACTAGACTTTTTGGCGTTTAAGGAAACGGACAGTGCACTCTGAACGCGCTTGTAAGCATCATAATCTGGTATGTTATACTTCGTAGAATCTCTGTCACGTCTCTGCCGGCCAGGTAGCTTCGGAACTTGCTATCTGACCTGCAGCAAAAACAAGCGCACCGGGTCAGTTTGCACTCAGAGCGTGGCAGCCTCTTGACTTGTGATGCTCGAAATGTGACAGTTCGCTTCGCTTCGCTTCCTGTCGGCTCGCAGAGATTTATCCTTATCCAAAGTGGGAGGTGTGCTGGAGGCAGGGCGCCAAAGCCAGGTGCATGCGAACACCAGCTGCAAGTCTTGAAGGACTCGGGAGACCCATCGAGTTTTCAGAACTGCAAAAGGGAGCCTGAAACGCCACTCTTTGAAGCTGTGCAGGCTTCTCGCCTTCATGGCGGTACGTGCATCCTTCGAAAATAGCAACGAGGCCACGTCCGAGAGCATATCGAAACTTCCAGATGCAGAGAACAGTTCTGCCAGGTGGGCGTTTTTGCCCGCCTCACGAACGCTTACTGTCTGGTCGCACTGGGCGGATCAGAGTGTCACAGCTGCAGATCGCATCAAAGTTGTGTATGGCAGCATCGTTGTGAAATCTTATCTTTTGCAAACGAGGGAACTAGGGATGTTCATGACTTGAACAAGACAAACAACATGCTGGAGAAGAGGTGTTGGTGACAGATTGTCAGGATCACAAAATGAGGGGGAGCAGCAAAGTCGAAGCCAGCATAGGTCAGGCCGAGTAAGAGGACTTCGCAGTGGGCATGCAAGCGAGTGCGAAGGGCTGGTCTGCAAGCTCATTACTGCATTACCCTCCCCTGAGAGTCCGGTCGAGCTCCTTGGTTGTCGGCACGATGAAAGCAATCAGCTCAAGTGATGCATGTGCTCTCCCCCCTCATCACGGGCTTGGGCGGGCAATGCATTGAATTCACTCCGGAAGCTCTCGAGATAGCAGAGCTTCGACTGCCTTGCTCGGTTTTCCGGATGCCATGGTCATGCAATAGTATTTTCCAGGTGCAGAATTCTTTTCAACCATCGTTTTCCGCCGCACTTTGTCTCCAAGGAACTTCTACAGCGTTTTCGAGGCCGGGGTCACGTGATCTGCGTCGTTTCTGCAAGTGGGCCTGTGCTGCATTTGTGGAAACGGCTTCTTTTGGATGCAGCTTGTGGCTCAACCGGGCGCTGGCGGCACCTCCCATGTAGCAAGCACGCATGGAACACTGCCGGGCGAAGGGATGTGGCTGCATGGGCACTTGCAGCAAGGGCTGCTGCCTGAGCGGCCGCAATCAGGCTGGGTCATGTCGAAATGTCCCTTATACTGTTTGGCTCAGCCACTACCGGCCTTCTTCGACAGGTTCACTCAGTTTTCTCAGTTTCTTGAGAGCATCCATCTAGCTCTCCATACCTCTTTCAGCATGTCATTCGTTCCACTTTTCCATTCGTGGGCAGCTGGGGGACACTTGCTGTGGCAGGACTCTACCCCTACTGCAGAATGCCTCTCTCTCTTTAGGCCGTTTCTGTCTATCCTTGCCGTGCCTGAGAGTGTATGAGTACTCCGGAAGTGGTCCTTGGCTAGGCGCGTGTAGCCAGGTGCTCCTATTTGTTTGGGTCTGTACCCAGGCCTAGGTCTAGGTACTGTCGTTGTGACAGCCTTTCGCGACCGTCGCAGGAGGTTCAGGGCGTCCTGGCAGATCCGAGTGGCAGAAAGCTCTTGCTGATTTACGTTCACTTCACGTGGCGAGTTTGCATCTGGGCTTCCTTGACGTGTCGGTAGAGCTGCAGATCAACAGCAAGTTGAGGTTCCACTTACTGTTGCCAAGTATGGCTCGGCCCTGATTGCTTGCAAGCGCGGCCTGCAATGGGAACACGCGCTATCCTTGTTGCGCTGGATGGAGGAGGATCCCCGGCCAACTTGCCTCAGACTTGGGGTTGCGCGCATCGATGATCCAACATGGGTCAGTCTGATTGTGCGAGGATGCGGTGGCCAAGAACGAATTCATATTTACCCATGCTGCTTGGAAGCAGGATCGGCAAACTAACGGCTGCAGTTCAGTTCAGGGATTCAGGGGCTGCTAGTAGTGCAGGGTTGATAAAGGAAGAGAACTACTTTAGCTCTACTGGGCCACCGGCTGCAACCAAGGCAATTCTGGTGTGCATGCAATGTGGGCATGCGACTGCGGTGCTGAAGCTTTTGGGGGATATGCCGGTGGCCTCCGTTCCTCCGAACAATGTCGTCTGCGCACAAGTCATCAGCCAATGTGCCGGTCTCAGCTCAAATCAGAGAATCTCCACGTCTCTTCCGTCCCGGTGTGAGGTCACAGAGAGCACAACTGGCATCTGTCAATGCAAATCTTCTCCAAGATGATGCGTTCCTCTGCAAGACCGGATGTCATCACCTTCACTTCAACCATCAATGCATGTGAGAAGCTTCAGCTGCAATCGCAAGCCGGTGTACTGGGTAGCGAGACACACATATTCTGTAGTCGAAACAAGATGATGCCATGTCCTCTTCGAAGCAGCCAGCATTCGAGCTGCACCATCTCACAGCATGTTCCGACGAGGGGTTCCATATCCGTACTTCTGGTCAAACAGTCATTCAAGTGTAGCCAAGGAAGGGCCAGCAATGGGAAGCGGCCCTCCAGCTTTTCAACACAATGCGTGGCATGGCCAGCATCCCCAACGAACTCACCTGCTCGGCCGTGGTACAGTCCCTGAAGCCGAGAGCAAGCGCGGCTGCTGGTGCAGGCTCGACGGGAGACGACAAGTGACAAGTAGGTGTCAAGATCACTGTGATGTCCGTTCAACATTTCATGTGTGTGCGTGTATCATGTCCAGGTACTTGGCGTCTCCTGCCGAGCCTCTTGCACGAAATTCGCTGCCTGGGTGACTTGACTGTACACGGGACCATGGTAGATGCTGCCAGTGTGTCATCAAGCACATGTCCAGCACTGCACTGACGTAACGTGGCTTTGCAGCAGAGGTGTGCAGCGAGATGTGGTTTTCTCTAATTCAGTAAACGGTGCGGTAGAGGAGGCCTCGGAGTGGAGAACGGCATTGGTTGGTGTGCAGAGCATGTTGTCGTCGAAGCTCGAGCTGGATGCAGCAAGCTCCAGTGTGCCTGCCCAAGTCTGTCGCAGTGTCCTCAGAGGTTCTCTTTCGGCCGTTCGCTGGCTTCAGGTGGTGATCAAAGCCTTCGGAAGCCCTGGCTTGTGGCAGCGCGGTCTTTTCGTCCTGGGCGCCATGCCCATAAACTCCATTGCAATCAACACCGCGATAGGCATCTGCTCGGGGATTTGGCAGCAAGCTCTGTGGCTTTGCAGTGAACATCTGTCGAACGCGGCAACCTACACTGCCGCGATTTCTGCATGTCGGCATGGAGGAAAGTGGGAAGTGGCCTTGAGCTTATTGCAGCAGATGCAGTGTCGGGGCCTTTCACCAGGAACCGTGACGGTCACGGCCGCCATCACGTGCTGCGAAGCGTCGCGGCAATGGCAGCAAGCAGTGGGTCTTCTGAGCCTGATGCTCCGAAGACTGCTGGAGGTTGATGCCATCGCATACCGCTGCACGATAGGCTCTTGCGATGTTCACTGGCAACATGCACTTGCTATTCTGATGGTATCGTGGCAGGCACGGGTTTACGACACTGAGTCATTCACAAGGGTGTTGTGGTGCTTCGAAGCTGTTGGCTGTTGGCAGTCGGCGCAAGCGCTGTTGCACAACAAGCCGGAGAGTCTTGTGCCAGATGAATCAAGCTATCTGTCAGTGATTCGCAGCTGCGGCAATAGTGGCGAAATCGCTGCAGGTTTTGAGGTTCTGCATGATTTTGTGCACAGTGGCATCGTTCACGGTGTTGCGTTCCTTCCCTGCGCAATGTCTGCCCTCTTCATCAATGATCCAGACTTGATCCGCGCCACTTTTGCAGAGACTTGGCAGAGACTGAGAAAGGAAACGTGGTCGCCTTGCGATTTGATCACTCTCTGGTCTGCTTTGGGCTCGATGGGTGCCAGAAACGCCGCCTTTGAAAATGCTATTCTTGCCGAAGCTTTGCCTAGTTTGTGTGCATATGACTGGGATGAACTGATGGAGCTCTCATGGGGTGCTGCTGCATGCGGCATGGCCAGCGACTTCTTTGATCCCCTACAAGAAGAAGTGTTGAGTCGTTTCGGCGTTGTCGCGGATCCTCCTGCTCAGTGCATACTTGGACTGATTTCGGCCTGTCACGCTGCTGGATCGCTCCGTGCCAGCTTCAACATGGCTGCATCGCAGCTACTGGAAAGACGTGGCAAAGATTTGGATGGACAAAGCACGAAGCACGTGGCTGCAGAAGCCCTCCCTTCTCCTGCAAGGCTCACGCTGTTTTCCGAATCATCGGTCCATGCAGACGGGGCAAGCAAGCACGCACGAGCGCATGTCAGTATTTCAAGCATATATATATATATGTATATATACATATATAGATACTCACATACATATACATGTAGGCGTGTATACTGTGTACAGCACGAAAGCAATATCAAAAGATTTGCGAAGAGATGGAACATCAGCAGATAGAAACACACTTCAGAAGACATCTTCAAGACGTGTGCAGAAAGCATTGCCATTTCCCTGGTCATAGCGGTTGTTCTTCTTATCTGAACTCTGATTTCCAGCAGTTTTAAAGGCCACGAGCACCGGGGCAGGCCGGGGGGGCATGGTGGAGGGGCTAGTGCAAGCAACAAGCGAGCCACACATCCTCGACGACTCAGTGCATCCTTGGCTCGCCGAGACGAAGTTGTTGCCCGTCTCTTTGGGTTGGATAGCTTGAAATTTGCGGGCGCCATTTCCACGCGATGCTCCCGGAAAGCCTGTCTTCTTACTCGCCAGTGGACTTTCCGAGTAGCGAACTCCGTCACTCGCCAGAATGAGCTTTATGTGGGTCTTCGATGACCATAAACATCTAGCCGACTGCATATACGACCGCATGTGTGCATGCATAAAGTGGATCGCCTCCAGAAGGCCTTCCCGGCAAGTGAAGTATTGGTGCATTGAACGTTTGCGTGTCAGATCTCATTCGGACAACTATATTGTTCGACATGTAGCTTAACCATCAATTTTTCTGTCGCCGAACAGACGTTCGGTGGTTGAGGAGACGCGAACCCAATGTCTTTTGTCGTCGTTCATGTCAAGACACCTGAAGGTTTAAGGTTTCAGTCTTTCTACGTGTGTCGAACCAGTGTGCGCATATATGAACACGCATGTTACTAAACTGTGGAGGCATCAAGGCAAGTGGAGTACAAGCCAGGGGGGCTGCTTGGCAAAACGACATCAGTTCAAAGGTCATCGACGCAGAATGCCCGTGTGCCACAATGCTCTCACCGATGAAGACAGACTGGAAGACAGACAATTTTTTTTTGTCGAGGTCGAGACCCCGGCCACTCGCCGAGCTGTGCCGTGAGTTTCTCGTTGCTTGGGATTTTTCGGCTGAACTTGTGCAAATATCTTATTTAGGACACATGCAAACTCGAGGCGAAGCATTGTCTTTCTCGAAGAACAAGGGCCTGTCTTACGACATATCTTCCGCAGAAAGTTCATATATTTATGCAAGTTCATCCACTTTATGTGTTGTGCAGGTATATGTGTGTCTTTGCATTTGCAAAAGTGTCTATGCTTCGCCAAGAAAAGTGTGAAAGAGCAGGGCACATGATGTGAGGCACCAAACAAGAACGTGCAAACTGATATGTCTAGAGTTCTGTTCATATAGGTACAAACATGCGAACGAGTAAACAAATAAGGCATGTATGTAATAGACACATACATACATTCGTGCGTCCGTATGTATGTCGGAGTATATGCACATTGGTAGGTGGATGCATTGAAAATAGCAAAGTTGGTTGTGGTCTCTTCCCATGCATATCAGAGTATGTGGACATACATAAAAATGCGAAATATATGATTTAGTCATATGTACCTCACTTGATGATTGGGATCATCCAGAAAACTGGAATATCCTTGTGCAAGGCATGGGGTACGCGATATATGCTATACAGGTACATTCATTCATTCATTCATTCAGTCAGTCAGTCATTCATTCGTTCGTTCGTTCGTTCATTCGTTCATTCGTTCATTCGTTCATTCCTTCATTCCTTCATTCCTTCATTCCTTCATTCCTTCATTCGTTCATTCGTTCATTCCTTCATTCCTTCATTCCTTCATTCCTTCATTCCTTCATTCCTTCATTCCTTCATTCCTTCCTTCCTTCATTCCTTCCTTCCTTCATTCCTTCATTCCTTCATTCCTTCATTCCTTCATTCCTTCATTCCTTCCTTCCTTCCTTCATTCCTTCATTCCTTCATTCCTTCATTCCTTCATTCCTTCCTTCCTTCCTTCATTCATTCATTCATTCATGCATTCATTCATTCATTTATCATTTATTCATTCATTCATTCATTCATTCATTTATTCATTCATTTATTCGTTCATTCATTCGTTCATTCCTTCATTCATTCCTTCATTCATTCATTCATTCGTTCATTAATTCATTCATTCCTCCATTCATTCATGCATTCATGCATTCATGCATTCATGCATTCATGCATTCATGCATTCATTCATTCATGCATTCATTCATTCATGCATTCATGCATTCATGCATTTTTTCATTCGTTCATTCATTCATTCATTCATTCATTCATTCATTCATGCATTCATCCATTCATTCATTCATTCCTCCATTCATTCATTCATCCATTCATGCATTCATTCATCCATCCATTCATTCATCCATCCATTCATGCATTCATTCATTCATTCATTCATTCATTCATTCATTCATTCACGCATTCATTCATTCACGCATTCATTCATTCATTCATTCATGCATTCATTCACGCATTCAGTCATTCATTCATTCATTCATTCAGTCATTCAGTCATTCAGTCATTCAGTCATTCAGTCATTCAGTCATTCAGTCATTCAGTCATTCAGTCATTCAGTCATTCAGTCATTCAGTCATTCAGTCATTCAGTCATTCAGTCATTCAGTCCTTCAGTCCTTCAGTCCTTCAGTCCTTCAGTCCTTCAGTCCTTCAGTCCTTCAGTCGTTCAGTCGTTCAGTCATTCAGTCATTCAGTCACTCAGTCATTCAGTCATTCAGTCATTCAGTCATTCAGTCATTCATTCATTCATTCAGTCAGTCAGTCAGTCATTCATTCAAATAATTCATTCATTCATTCATTCGGTCACTCATTCACTCATTCATTCCTTCATTCATTCCTTCATTCATTCATTCATTCGTTCATTCATTCATTCATTCACTCATTCACTCATTCACTCATTCAGTCATTCAGTCATTCAGTCATTCAGTCATTCACTCATTCAGTCATTCACTCATTCAGTCATTCACTCATTCACTCATTCACTCATTCATTCATTTATTCATTCATTCATTCCTTCATTCCTTCATTCCTTCATTCCTTCATTCCTTCATTCCTTCATTCCTTCATTCCTTCATTCCTTCATTCCTTCATTCCTTCATTCCTTCATTCCTTCCTTCCTTCCTTCCTTCCTTCATTCCTTCCTTCCTTCCTTCATTCCTTCCTTCCTTCCTTCCTTCATTCCTTCCTTCATTCCTTCCTTCATTCCTTCCTTCATTCCTTCATTCCTTCATTTCTTCATTCCTTCATTCCTTCATTCCTTCATTCCTTCATTCCTTCATTCCTTCATTCCTTCATTCCTTCATTCCTTCATTCCTTCATTCCTTCATTCCTTCATTCCTTCATTCCTTCCTTCCTTCATTCCTTCATTCCTTCATTCCTTCATTCCTTCATTCCTTCATTCCTTCATTCCTTCATTCCTTCATTCGTTCATTCGTTCATTCGTTCATTCCTTCATTCGTTCATTCCTTCATTCGTTCATTCGTTCATTCCTTCATTCCTTTCATTCCTTCATTCCTTCCTTCCTTCATTCCTTCCTTCCTTCATTCCTTCCTTCCTTCATTCATTCCTTCCTTCATTTCTTCTTTCATTCCTTCCTTCCTTCCTTCCGTCCTTCATTCATTCATTCATTCATTCATTCTTCGCAGATATTCCGCCAGTTCACGAAAGCGTCGGAGCCCGCTATTGGGACCCAATCACTTTTTCTGGTGCCCATCGCTGTCCCTCCGATCGAGAGGGCAGATACGCAACAGCGACATAACCGACTCCACTCACCCAGAATGGACACTGTCAAGTCGGTCGCCAGCACGCTTTGATCACAACTGCATGCCGCGGAAGGTAGCCTACTTCAGCAGATCCGCTAGCTGGGCCAAAAAAGTTTGAAGTTCGAGCTCAAGGCCTCCTTTGGGGGCCTGTCCGTGTTTGACTTCCGCACCCTTGTCGGTCAGTTTGTCGACCAACAGCTTCAACACTTGCCCAGCGGAAGCGTACACTGCGAAACACGCTTTCACTTTGCCCTTCTGGAAAGGTTTCTTGACCCGGCGCACATGGATCACTGTAGCCATGGCTTCTGCACTTGCGAGAAACCAAAGTGGCGGATACTCTGCGTATTCTCTTCTCCTGAGCCCATGTCTTCACTGACGAGCACCTCCAGCATACCCATCCACACATAACAGTGCGGTGGCCCTTGTGGTGTATCTCCTCCTGCCTGTTGTCTCTTGTACTCTTGTGGTACTCTTGCGTTGCATCCGTGGCTGCTTTGACGATCGGGTTATCTTGATTTACGACAACACTGCAGCTTGAAGCTCTCTCATTTCCATCTCGTGTTGCAGCGACAACTTTGCCACAACCTGCATGCCCCTCATCAGGAACTTCTCTGATCCTCCGGCTTGCTTTTACTGGCCTGATCGTTGCTGGCACCTCCGCGCTTGTTGGAGAGATTCCAAGACACCACCGACATGAGGGTTTGGAAGCTGCACATGGGTAACAACGATTTATAACGTGCGCAAGCAACGCATCCAGATCATCACATACCTCATCACATGTCGGACATCTGAGTTCCCTCGGCACTGCTACCTTGTACACAACACTGCGACCGGCACCGGTGCACCGCCCAACTTGCAATGTGCGTCGAATGTGCTCTTTGCCGGATGCCTTCGACTGGTAAATGTGTTTACACCGCGGACATATGTTACGTGCAACAGGAGACAACATGCCGTGCGTACCGCCTCGCATGCATGTCTTGTGAAGTGACAGAGCGCTGTTCGAAGTAAAAGTTTGTCCACACTCCCGCCCATCCGCCAGTGTGCAATCACATGCGTACGTCCTCGCAGCTTCCGGCATCTCTTGCGCACCATCCCCCACATCGTCTGCTGGCACAACCTGGAGGAGGAGTTCGATTTCGGTAGGAAGGTACCTCTGATAGCAGAAACATCAATGGCCAGAGTTTCTGGCGTAACTCTGTGAGTACGAGTGCGACGCGATCGCCCACAAAAATACAGGTGTATATACACACACACACACATGTTTCGCCACAAGATGCTAGCTTCAGTTTTGCATAAATGCAAGTGTCGTGTGCATCCATATGTCATCATGTGCAACACTCCCTCATGCCAGTGTGTATCATGTTGTCTGCATATCGGTGGCTTCCATGGTTCCGCCTGTCCGTATCATTCTAGACGATTCCAGGTGGCTTCACAGGTCCCCTGCCAAAGGGTCGGAGCCGACCGTCGTGCTTCAGCGCTTGGACATGGCTATCCTCATGAAGCCAGCAGGATGGGAGGTCTTCGGTGACCAAAGCGAGAGGCCGATCGGAATTGTCGGCGTAGGCTTCGCCGAAGCTTTCAGGAGTAGTAGTGAGGATGTCACATCTGGTTTCGACAAAATTTAATCACTGGTGTTTGATTATGACGTTCCCGTAGCTCCGCAAGCATCACAAGCCTGAAAGAGTCGAGATCTACCGAAATCACAGGCTGGCGGTATACTGTACGAAAACATATCTTTTGGAAAGTTAGCTACTTTTTTCGCCACGTTTGGCAGACTTCGGACGCTCTTCTGCATCTGTCACGGCACTTCATCACCCCCTTGTCCTCTGTCGCTTGCGATGCACCTGCCAGGCAGCTTTCAGCTTGGATCCAAGCCCGATTCGGGTTGCAGAGCTTTGACTGCATGCTAGCTTTCCAAGATTTGGCAATCCATCCGATGAACACCGACTGTCCCATCAGGCAGTCGATTTTGCGAGATTCATCCTTCCAATTTGGTTTCCTGCATCGGCTGGACGTTCCAAGTTCGGGACTTGTGTGTGTAGCCACCACCTATGCCAAGTATTATGCATTGGAGCTGCAGCTCCGCACAGGCCTGCTCAATCGAGACTTGGCACATAAAGCACTGCAGCGCGTTTACCACATGGTGCGAGTGGAAATAGTTCAACAGCATGAGTCATGAGGCGACTATTTCCTCGTGTCGTACGGCTGGTGGCCATTGTCACTGCTTGAGATACGGGCCAGTTTGCACTGGGGACTACACACGCTTTCCATCGCGGGCGGAAGAGGAAAGCCCAGTGCCAGCTTGGTCAAGGTTCTTGCGCATGCAGAACGAAGAGCGCAAAGTGCACATAGTCTTTTGGCAGTCCGCATTGTCACTGGCAGATGCTTGGAATCAAGCAGAGGCACCAGGTACTCTGACCGCGAGGATGGCACATCTGCTTTGCAAGACTCGAGCTCGAAATCCGCCTTGACCTTTCCTGTCTTCAACTCCCGCGAACGAACTGTTTTGGACCAAGATGCTGAGTCCTTGCAGCTGTTGCGCTAGCTGCGAGTCCAAACCTCGAACCGAGAGAGATTCCAAACTTGTGATGGCGGAGCTTCGCAGCCTTGGGCGCCGAGGACGGCACCAGATACGGAGTCACCTCGCGCACGTGGGTCATCCTGTGGCGGCTTGGAAAAACATCGTTGGTATTCGATCTAGTCTTCGCCCGTCGGGTGTCTCTCTCCCTCTGTGGGTTTGTCGGGGAATCTGCGCGCGTGCTTGTGTGCTGTTTTGCAGCAGTCTTTAATCCTCCGGAGTTGTCTCGTGCTCGAGGTCTCGGATGGTCAATATGCAGCTACTGCCATGCGGAGCACCAGCGACTACCGGAACAATAGACACTTCTTGCATCGCGTCTTGCCAGCATCTTCGGGCAGCTTTGTTGTAAGTTCCGTTCTAGTTGAATGTGCCGATTCCCAGGCTACCGCCTGGAATTTCTTGCAGATGGCTCGGGGGGGCTGTCGGTGCTGGAGCCATTAAGCCCGGATCTGCTCAAGTACCTTAAGATGCTGCGTGGCAAAGACGCCAGGTTCGGTGAGTCGTTTCCCTGCTTTCAGATTGCAGAATGCTTGCAAACGATCATGCGAAGCGTGTCACTGCGGCGCCTGGCTGGGCAGGTCGTCAGAGCTCTTGCAAGCTTGGATGCATGGAGACCTTGGCGATGCTATCGATTGGCAGCAGCTCAGCTCCCTCAGCAGTGAGGATTGTACGCACGTGAGCTGATGCAGGGATGCCCAACGGTGTCTTGCTCAGACGTCATGAAGAGATGTGCGAAGACGAAAAAGGGCTGTATGGACAGCTTTTGGCGGTGCTGCGGTTTCGAGCACAGCATGCAGCTGGGGCTTCCTGCGAGGTGTCACATCCTCATATTCAAGCTTTCCTGCACAAGCGTTCCTGCTGCTTCTCTGGCTCAGACGTGTCTTGCATGAGGAGGGACTTGAATTTGCGTGGTTTTGCCGAAGAAACCGGGCTTCCAGCGCCTGTTTTCCCTTTCCAGACCTGTTTTCCAACGAGCTGGAGAGCTGGAACCCGGAAACTTTGGATCCTTGGCAGCCTCGTTCTACTCGTGCAGTCCGACGCTACGTAGAAACCTGCATGGCCAGGGAGGGCAACCACAGTTCAGCACTGGACATGCACATTCCAGTTGACATGTGGTGACATGCAGAGACCCTGTATCCCTCCGTCGTCAGCCGAGGACGACGCGGGGAATTGCACATCATAGATGATGAATCCGGCCCAAGACGAGTCGGAGCCGCGATCGCGGACATGGCAATTCTCAAAGACCAAAATGTGGCTGGATGCAGCCGAAGGCTGTTTCTTCTTTTCTTTCTTAAGTCCACTAGTGGCATCGTACTGTCTCGTGTGGTTGAAGTAGTTCTGGCTTCGGTGCTTGGTGGTCTCTTGCGGCACAGCCAGGGACTCAGCTGAGGTGCAAATTCAATCTGGTTGGTATGTGTATGAAAGGCAGCCAATGCCCGTGCTTTGGTTGCCCTCAGTGCTGCGGACTGCAGCTTCCGGGCGATGTTTACGTTCGCAATGTCAGGTTTGCGCATCAGAAGGGCGAACTACGGGCGTTGCCAGATCTGACATGCACGAAGCTCTGCAAAACACTTATCCAGACAGGCAGGCTGTGTAAGTTTCTAGGGTGCAGCTGAAATATTCAGGAGCTGGTAGGACTGTGCGGCCATAATCCGGCAGGCACCTGCGATGATGCAAAATGCACCTATGCTCACAGCAAAGACGAGCTGAGAGCCACCAGTACCTTCTCTCAGAGGGGTCGTTCGTTCCACGGGAGCTGTGTTACTAATTAGTTGCCGTATGTGTGCGATGCAGCTCATCCCACCCGCTTGTCTGTCTATTTGGAAGTTGTCAGGCACTTTTCACAAGACCAAGCTGTGCCGGTTTTCCCAGATGGGTCATTGAGCCTTGGACATATAGCCTGCCAAAGAGAGTACGTCATATGCAGCGGAAATCGCCCAACTCAGGCGCGCTCGGGTCGAAGTGCAATTTTGCACACTCCGACGAGGCCCGGTCTTCTTAGCGCTCTCTTCTGCATGCAAAGCGTAGGCGTAGGCCCTTTTCGGCCAGGAGCTTCGGCCTTTGGACACCGCGAGCCTGCCGCAGCCGCCGTCGCCATCAAGTCCGACTCCGGACCCACGTCCTGAGATCCCGCAACTCTCCAGTCTCATCCGATCTTTCTGCTCTCCCACCTGCCATCACCTGCCCCTCCTTGTCGTTGAACTTCTTGTCTGCAAGCCAGATCTCGTTTGTTCTAGTATGTCTCTCTCATCTCCTTCTTGTACTCTCTTTTCGATGCTTGTCGCTTGTCCATCTGTGTCGGCCGGTGTAGTGGCTTTTTGCTCAGCGACTGGTTGAGCACAGCAGCCTTCTTGCGTGAGGAGGAGTCACTGAGACGATCGGAATTCCAAGCTGCGCCGCGCGTTCCAAAGGCCCAAGCTGCGGCACCCGCGGCTCAGCAGGCCAAGCCTGTTCAAGCTCCGAGGAAACCGCAGATGCAACAAATTGTGCTGCAGCAGCAGCAGCAGCAACTTCAACATCAACAGCATCAGCTTCATCAGCAGTGACTTGGACAGCTATTCTCGACGCATTGCCATTGATGGCCGTTTCGTCACGTTGCGTCGCTGCATCTGGGTTGAAAGCCCTTGTGAGCTCCAAAACCAAGGCAGTTGCAGCAGCAATTGCAGCTTCAACAGCAGCAGCTTCAGCAGCAGCAGCAGGAGCTCGTCTCAGCCTCTCGCAAACACTGCAGTTGTCAGGCATTGAGGGGTAGCAGAGATACCAGACACATCACGTGTGATGACAGGAAATCTTGGAGCACCAGCAGCAGAACAAGATGTTGACACTGGCCTTGCAGCAGCAGCTGGCACTTGCCAGTATCTTGTCAGCAGTACTGTTTTTTGAGACGTTGCCGCTTGGCGATCTTTGCCCTCCATACATCCCCTGGTGCATGTAGCACTGACCTTGCAAGCTGACAAAGCTAGTGTGCCAGAGCAAAGGGTTTTTCAGAACAAGAGTGGCCAGTTTCCGGGTCGCATTGCATGACACTCCAATGATTCTTCAGGTACCACTTTTGGCTCCTTCGGCCTCTTGAAGGGGCTCCAGCCCTTCCAAGTTGCGACACTGCCAGTGTCAGGCCAGAAAGAGAGCAAGAGGGATGGACATCTTAGCCTTAGCCCGGAAGTAGCAGACCGTTGACAGACCTCCCACCCAGGATTTTTCCGACTTTACCGATTGTGTACTTGACTTGACCCGCTTGTCCGTTTCTGCCAGACGACTTCGTTGACGTTCCACTGGCAACTCACAGTCCTCCCGACGTGCCAGAAGATGCAAAGGCCGGGATTGGAACAAAAGTTACACAACCACTAATGTCCATGCGGTCAGTGATGCGCATGTACCAGTGTCCCTTGAGGTTGCTCCGCCAAAGCGCCGCGGTGGCCGGCGGGGGAAGGGACGAAGCTTGTCCAAAGGCAGAGCATGGCAGAGTAGCCCGTGCATATGTACGGGCTGCAGCAAACGAGACTGTCCAGTTTCGTCGCGCAGGCGAGTTCGGAGACTTCAGTTTGGAGGTGGAAGAGTTCTGAGCAGCTCGCACGGTCGAACCGTCCAGAGCATGTCCACCGAATGTCCAATAGACCTACCATCAGCAGAGTAGGGCTGAGTAGGGTTGTATAGACGCTAGAAAGTTTCAGTCGTTGGCATCCTGGCAATTGCTGGTGACGTCAGACCCATGTACTCAGCGTGATGCAAGTCTATTTTCTGAGACTTGGTTTTCCTTATCTAGTGACTGGGACGAACCCAGAATCACCGCGGCGCCAGGATGTGCACTGACTATACGTGTTGTTGACCTGCTGACGCATTTCCTGCGACAGCATTGCCAGCCGCCTGTACAACACGGCTGATGAGCTATATTGCGGTGTACAGAAAGTTTCAGGCAACTCCAATCGATCACAGCATTGCCAACCTGCAGGGCATGGGCCACTCGCATTAGACATTTTTGCCAGTTGCCTGAGGCTCGGTTTGAATGCTTGGAAGTTTTAATGCTTGTACCCTTGCGACGTCGACCTCGACACAAAATGCACGTCATGGATTGCCGGACAGCCGCCACTTACTGGTATCATGGGGCCTGGCGCGTCCAAGGTTCGCTCACCACTTTGACTGATGTTCCTTCCTCAACGCAGGCAGAGCTGTCAAAGCACATTCCGGTGGTCCACGCCACCATTGGAGGACTACGGCAAATTTGCACAAGTGTGGACTCTCCTACAGAGAGTACACAATTCCCACGTGTTTTCAGCACGCAAATTGATTGGACTTCTTGTCGGCATAGTCACGTGTCCAAGCTTTGCTGTACAACTGTAGAACGAACAACCACTGACCATCAACGGAAATAGATCGCAAGGCTGGCTCGGAAGTGGGTCTCTAGGATGTCGCTGCTGCATCCGGGTCGTGGCTAGCATGTGTCTAGGCTCTGTCCGGCCACTGTGCTGTGAAGTTCCAATTTAAGAGTTTCCCAGCACAGTTGAGTACGTGGCATCGCTATTTGCAACTGTGGGGGATTGTCATGTTGAAGTTCGGAATCTTGAGTTGAGTGGTGGTCGACCGAAAGTAGTCAAGCGAAATCGCTCACTTTTGCATCAACCCCGCCAATTGCCACAACAAGAGGTTCCCTGTACATACTGGAGTGTGTGTGTGTGTGTGTGCTGTTTGCGCGAGCAGCTGCCCGAGGAACTCGAATTTGTGGAAGAGCCGTGTCCCCAGTTGTGACACTTTCAGTTTCTCCGCTTCTGCACGGTTAGCTGCACGCATGCATCCAGATGCCATCAGGTCACGGTTGGCAATCGGCACGGGCTTTTAGTCCCAAGCATCACGACTGACCAGGCGTGTTGCGACCGCAATGATGTCATCTCTTGCACTTCAGCTAACCTGTCAACGCTGCAAGCCAAATGGCCCCAGCAAACCGGTGAAAGGAGCTGGCACACCTCAGAAACCACTTGCCAGAAGGTATTCGAGACCGGAGCCCAGCTTGGGAGACATCCTGGTCTGCGCAGTCAAGATTTCCCGGATCCGTGAGGTTCAGAAAGTTGAGGAGCGCCTGTCAGCGCTTGGCAACTGCATCGCCTGCAACGACTATGTGGCTGGACTTATGGGAGGGGCGAGTCAGGCAGTCATGCGGTATAATGCCAGAGCCGGGGCTCTGCAGTGGTTCCGTGCTTGATGCCGGGAGGCGAAGTGCAGGGTTTCTTCGATGCACTCGCTGCAGGTAGCGCTGGTTCACACAGATCTGGATCGTGAGACTGAAGAAGTTATTGCAGACACGCTGAAGGCCTGGAAGATGCGCAGAAGATCTTCTTCCTAAGTCCTAGTAGCGAGCTGCAATTAGCGGAGACAGATGTCATTGTGGCGCCGGGCAGGGACACAGGCAGGGAGGCAGGCAGGCAGGCTAGCAGGCCAGCAGGCCAGCAGGCCAGCAGGCAGGCAGGCAGGCAGGGTAGCTGTCTGACAAGTGCATGTTTAGTCGACACCATATGCACCACCGTGGCGGTGCACAAGATTTCCTGTCTCGCACTCTTACATGCTTGGTATTTCAAAGTGCTGGCAAGGAGAGGGTCTTGGCAGAGAGTTGTTTCTGGTGTCACGCCAGGTTGATGTGTTCCGAGCAACCGTTGCGCAGAATGTTCTCGTCGGGAGCTACTGCAGCTTGCCTGCAACTTGTGAATCCTCTGCTGCATTGAGTGTGTGTGTGTGCGCTGCCGTGGGCCATGGATGCTTAACACTGCTATACTAAGCTTGCGTGTTGCAGGGGTCAGAGAGGCTCGCAGAGCCTGCGCTCCCACGATTCTCTCTCTGCAATGCTGGCAGGGTGCATCCACATTCAAGGCATCACCCAACAAAGAAATGGATGAGCAAGCTTTTACTCCAGCCTTGCAACTTCTTGAGTAGAGCCAGCATGCACCGTTGAATTTTGGATTCAAAATTTTGCCCAAATGTTGCTCTACAAGCTGCAGTGGCGGTTCCCTTGAATTAATGGGTTCAAGCAAAGCAGCTGCCGACCGCTTTCCACAGAAACTGACAAGCCGGCTTTCGCGCCTCATTGGAGCGTAAGCATCCACTACTTCATCTACATCTCGCTCGTGCCACCAAGCTCCTGCAAGTTCAAGCCGCAACAGATAAAAGTCGTAAAGCTGCCTACACATGGGTGGGTTTAAAAGATATCTTCGTGTCCTCCTCGAGATCCTGGGTGAGTCCCTCGTATGCCGAAGACCGAGCCTGAGCTGCTCTTTGTTTACGGCCCTTCCTACAGCGTGAGAGCTGACTCTCTCGACACTCCGAGCGGAACGCGCCCGGTGGTGCCGGCAAACGGTCGCGCAGAATGTTTGTCGTTCCTGTCGCATCGACAGCGACATCGGGTCGGGATCGGTGACCTGTGCAGTCGTGATTGCTGGGTTGAACACGAACACCGGTGCCTGATGTTCTTCCAAGTCTTGCCTTTTCCAGAATGGCGACCAAGCACTCTTTGGAAGATATTTGCTTTTCTTATTTGTCTTTCGCCTCGGCTTCTGCCCACTCCATTTCACTACCTGACCCACCTCCAGGCCCACCGTCGGCCTCCTCATCACTTCCTAAACTTGAATCTTTTACCATTATCCAGATGGCCATGCAAAGGTTAGAATGGTCAAACATGAGATGAACACAACTTGGCATTAAAAACGCAAGCAGCCAACGATTCGAACAACATGTCAACGAATAAAGTTGAAGCAGTGGATGTGCGCATGCCAGCGATCAAGATGGCACGAGGACAGTAGATGACAGCAGTCGCAAGATCTTACGTGAAGCTTGAGTTCGAAGGCAGACGCTCTTGGATCAGCTCCGTCAGTCGAACCGCTGCATGGACACATTAGGATCTTATCAGGATCGAGACCGTATAGGGCTTCTGGTGGTTTTGTCCCGTCACTCGTCCCCCAACTCTCACTGTTGGGGTCTGCTGCTGTTCGCCCATGGACCCCCTGCCTTCCCACCTCCTTTCACTTGATCGCACCCTACCAGTGCCATCACAGTGCACCCCTAGCCCGCTCAAGTCCACCCGACGCCTGGATAAAAGGAAAAATTGCTCTCACTCGCCAGGTATTATGCCTTTGCTTCATGATCGTGCGGTTGACCATGTGCAGCATACTTCAGGATGTCTGTAGCCTGCAGCTGTTACTGTTCATCACACCTGGTCATTCACTTGAGGTGTGTTGACAAACCAGGCCCGTTTGTGAGCATCAGATTCACTTGCCCATCTTTGACAGCGGATTTGTTTGCAGACAACCCCTTGGCTTGAATTGAAGAGCGTTAGCTGGTGGCAAGTGGCATGTACGGCCTGCAGCCTGCAACCAGGGTGGTCTCGTACACGCGCGGACGCCCATGCAAGACATGGTGTCTTCGGCAAGAGTTGGATAGGCTTCCAGTTTTCGCAGATAGCTTAGGCAATCTGTGAGCCACAAGCCCATTTTGCAGGGCATGTGCGAGTTGCGAAATTCACGCGAGACTTGAACGACGCGTGGCAGGAGGAGCTCTCGCAACTCATCCAGGCACGGTTGCTGCTATGATCGAGCCTCCTTTGCGTTGTCTTTTTCATGTCCTGGCGAGGTGCCGTTAACTGCTGGCACTGTAAACCGTGGCTCGGCTGGGACCTCAGGTCGAAGGGTCTTTCGTGTCACTGCGTTCGTCTCCAGCCTACCGACTGCTGCAGGACATCATTGGTGCCGGTGTCGTTGCAAACGACTGGGCTGCCTTTTGCGGTTCAACCCTTGGGACTTGGGAGGGTCTGTGCGTGACTTTGGCCATTCTTGAAGATTTGAGCTGGTGCTGCTGTTTTTGCCTAGGCATGGACACGACCGCGATGGAGATTGGGGTGTTCAGCTTAGTGCAGAAGCGAATTGGTGCGTGGGCTGCATGTACGGGCTTTCAGCGCCACCTGCGAGGTCTTAGAGAGCATCTTCAAGCTGCAAAGTGCAGGTGCAGGACCTCATGGACTGCTGCTTTGCGTTTGAAACTGCCTTTGCTTCTTTGAAACATCTTCATGCCGAAGAGCAGACAGGAATGCAGAGCGCCCTTATCGACACAATCATGTCGTGAGATCAATGACTCGTTGCGACTGGGAAAGCCATAAAAATGTTTTACCAGCCTCGTGGACCCGTTAACTTAGCAGAGGAAAGTCTGGGTTGCACTGGCTTGAGCCACGAGGTGAGTCTCACACAGATCCACACAGCAGCTGTTGAGTCTGCATACCAGATACGGGTGCAGCAAGCCATCCTACTGCACCTGGTTCACGCCAACTGAAGCCTTATGGCTCTAGTTCCATAATCGAGGAACAACATTGAGTTCTAGTTTGTGGTGCTAATGGTTCGCTGGGAGCATCGAATCGTCGAAAGCTCTGGCCGAGCATGTACAGCTGAGTGCTGCAGCTCCTCTCGAAGTCGCTCTTGTTTGCGGGTGCGTCTTTCTACCAAGCGCACCGACGAGATGCGCATAGGAGAGGAGCAAAGCCTGTTCTGGCCATGCAACACTTGGACAGCATCGGCGCCAGTGACAAAACACGGTCTTACTGTAGTTTGATAACGCTGCCCCAAATGCTCCATGGTCCACCACCAAAGAGTGCGGCTTGCAAACCGGTTGCCATTGGTGGCTCCAAGAAGGGTTGCTGGGCTCACATCAACTACAGTGTGCCTGGACTGCCCAGACGTTAGCCACTCAGACTGGTGATGCAACAGTGTTGCGCTCGGATCAACTGCTCGTTCCGGCATGCCGTTAGAACTCCCTGGTCACGGTCAGGCTGCGGTGGGCGCTGACCAACGCCCTCGAGCGCGTGCGATGTTGGAGCCCAGTTTCAGAGGGTAGTCGTACACATCCGAAGATACTCATTATGCTTCTACATATCTGTGTATGAATGTATTACAGTATACAGATGTGCACATACCCATACATACACAGAGATGGTACGCACATATACCTGTGCACCTGCAGTGTAATGGCATGGACACAGTGGACAGATGGAGAGATGATTATCTTGAGGCCTTAAGCCGAAGCAAGCAAGCATGCCAGCAAACACGACCGAGCGAGCAAGCGGGAGAGAGAGAGAGAGAGCCCCAGAGTGAACTGCAGGTGCGCGTTCGCACGCGAAGTACAGGGTTGGACCGCCCAGTGCTTCTAGCCTGGTCGAGCGAGAGAGAGCGAGAGAGAGGGAGGGAGAACGGACGAAAGATAGCTGGAGAGAAGGAAGAACAAAGGAACGAGAGAAGACAAGCCATTCACAAGAAGCAAGAAGAAGCAGAAGAAGAAGAAGATGGCGAGTCCCCTAAGACGATGACCCGCCCCCTCAGCAGCACCAAACACAGACAGAGAGCGCGAGAGAGAGAGAGAGAGAGCGCGGGGTGGGCATGGACCTGCCTCTGGCTGCGTGCAAGCAAGAGAGAGGAGAGAGAGAGAGAGAGAGAGAGAGCGAGAGAGAGCGCGTCCCACAGTGACAGCGTGAGGAGAAAGAGACAAGAGAGTTGGAGAGTGAGCTATGCAGACACAGAGAGAGAGAGAGAGAGACACTTAGCATGTAGGCTCTGAAGCAGCAACGGCGAGAAAGCAGAGATGTTCCACTACAGAGCAAGGTTTCGACGCTCCGCCGCGAGATGTGATGTAGGCTCAAGGCGCTTGGCGCCAAAGCGAGCTGACCCAGCCACTATCGGTGGTGCAATTAATCTCCAGATTGTCTGAGCCCAAGATGCCATCGCTCACGAGCATAGTCTCTCTCTCCCTCTCTCTCTCTCTATCTCTCTATATACACGCACATATGTATTCTCATCCGCTTGGCGAGAAATGCCAGATGGCCGCGTTCACGACAGTGTGTTTTGCTGGCCTTGCTAATCATCCGAAATCATCACCCCCTTCACTTCATTGCCCATTTTTTGAAATTATGCGTTGTGTCACGCATCTTCAATGCTGACCCTGTAGCCCTGCATTATCATCGGTGCTCTGAAGCAAACACAGTCTTGGATTGAGGATATCCGGAGGTCGCCGTCGGCGCTGCTTTGGCACTTCGGGTTGAACGCCTTCCAGTGGCACTTGGCCCAGGTAAAACCACGACGATGCACAGACACAGAACGCCGGCCGAAGCTAAATTCACTTAGAGCTTGCACCAAGGCCTTTGCATTTCTGCGCTTGCCTCAGACTTGCTTGCTTAGCATGTGTGGCGTGGATTTTCTGCAAGACAGTTGCATCACTGGGCCAGGAACTGACTTTTTCGTGGAAACTTGAAGAGTCCTCGAGTGGTGATTCGCGGACAATCGTTTGGTACCTGAGCTGCAGTGCTGTGCAGCTTCGCATCGCCGTGGTCAAAGCTCTGGGTTATGCCAACTGCCAAGGTGTAGTGATGTCAGCACACATTCCAGACCAGGCTCAGCGGAATTGTTTTTCTTGCGCATCAAGTTCACATTGTCGGTATAGTATACCTGTTGCCGAGAGTTGGGTTGACAGGCGTTGATGCAACTCAATCAGGACCAGCAGGGCGGCAGGGTCGTGTTGTCGTTCCATCGTTGTTCTATGGCTAGTACGCAGGCGGTATGCGGACATACGGAACAGTTACATTAACCATCCCAAGATCATAAAGATTGCGGGGTCGATGTTTTGAATGAGCAAACTCCTATGGTGCTATGGAAGCCGCTGCCGCCTGCATCGGAGCTCCGTCACATCCATTCGGTAGACATGAGTGGGTTCTGTCACTGGCCTTCCTTATGCTGCATTTTTTGGCTAGGTAAACACACCAGGACTTAGTCACGTGTAACTCCTTAAGCGGCGTAAGTAGCTATCAAGGGAACATGTTACCTGTCTCCGGCCATGTTAGAGCCGGGCGAAAGGGAACTGTTGTGCTGGAGCTAGGACTGGCATCCTGAAGTGCCCGTCATGCAGATGAGTCGGACCATGTGGTGACATCTTCTCAGAAACGTCCATGCGGGCGCAATAAAGGTGCATGCTACGAAGAAGGATGTTAATCTGAGATCTTTGCAAATGCAGCTAGCAAACACACAGACAACCCTGGCTCTGCGAATGGGTAGCAATGGTGATTGGTCAGTGCATGCTCATCAGAGGCTTCACGCATGGCTACAGCGCCCCCGTTGTGGAACATGTAGCTCATCACCTTCTAAGGCGCTGGAGGGTGATAAAGAGGCCTCGCAGAAGCCTTCGGAATCCTTGGCAACATCATGTTCATCATCACGCTCGGCGTCCCCTCCTAGGAAAGCCCGCAGGGCATCCAATAGAAAGCTCGTCCAACACCTTCGTGCATGTGTTGGTGATCTTGAAGCGGCCCTTGGTAGAGCGCAAGATGAGGAAGAACGGAATGCAGAGTTGCATATGGAGGTTACCAGATTGCGTGGTGTTCTCAAAGAGAACAATCTGTCTCACCCGTGCTATCCTTGAGGGATTGCATGTTGGAGCAGGAATAGGCACAACTCCTTGAATTTCGAAGTGGGCTCCGTACTCAGACGTGCCTTCCTGATGGAATCAACAAGCACTCCAACAGCCACTGTCGAAGTCTGCCAAAAGTATGGATCTTGTGCACTAGTGCGCTGCTGTGAGCTTATAGTGCCCCTTAAGTAGATAGAACATAGCTTCGGGCATATTACAATAAGATCCCCATATACCCCATAGTCGATCTACATATAAGGGGGACTATAAGTGCATACGAGCATGCTTTGTCTTTGCCTCAGGAGCAACCCAAATATGTTTCCGTAGCTGTTATTCTCGACGCTAATTTCGCCACATCCATCCTCTGCAGTTTCCTTCGCATCATGGCCTCCGCTCCGCCCACCCGACCCGTGTCCCTGGCCCAATCCATCGACGACAGCAACTTGGATGGCGCTGTGACGTGGGATGAGGCCGTAGCCAACACGGATGGGATGAAGATCCTCGTTTTGGACAAGCCCATGGTGGTCAACAAACCACCTGGCCAGATCACCATCGGGAGCCTTCCAGCTAAGGACGAAATTGTGGACTGCATGAAGCGGAAGACTCAGTTCCTGGATGTGCTTCTGGGTTACGAAGGCGACATTGACCTCAAACAGGTGGAGAAGCTGTTCCTGCAGCAGCGATATCAGGATTTTCCGGAGCCTATCCGAGTGAAGGGGAATAACATGACACCCTACACCATGCAGCTCTTCATTATGCCGAAAGGTGACACGAAGTGGGATATCGTGAAGCACATTCGGTTCGCTGATGGTGCGTGGGTGTGGCATTCCACCATTCTGGGAATGAGTGTCGTTCGACGCTTGGAGATATACCAGAAACAGTTCCGAGAGGGCCGGGCCCTTCAGTACATGTTGGTAGGTTTGGAGGGATTCCAGGTGCGCTATGCCTAGATCGTGCTTGGAGCTGCATCAAAACAGCTACCAAAGGAGACTGAAGACATTAGGAAATGCTTCCAATTTCTTCGTGACCATGGGCCCGAGGATAATTCCAACGGCCAGTTCACCTCCTGGAACTAGGAGCAGGTGAACGATCCATTTGGACCTTTGTATAAATTTAAATGGGACAAGGGCACGGTGAAGGAGTTCCTCCGTTCCATGGCCGACCAAGGCTCCACAGCCAACACCATACGTGGCTGGCCGTTGACACTAGTGGATTTCACCCCAGGGGCGTTGAACACGGTTATTGCTCCAGTCTTGCTCCACCACCTGGAGCACGCCGTTATTTGGATTGGCAAGTCCCAAGTGGGTAAGAGCCCCGTTGCCTACACGTTGTCCCACCTCATGTCCTCATTAGAACGTGCGGATGATGTGCCATCTTTCCAGACCTCCAACCACTTGGATTACTTCCGTAAGGAGAAAGGTCGCAAAACCAAGCCACGTGTCTTCGACGATGGTAATCTCAACTTGGAGCACCCTGCCTCCGTCAAAGCAGTGACTGAGGTTTCAGGCATTGACAGGAAAACCATGGCCCGATACACTGCTTCTTCTTACGAGAAGAATCAACTTTGCCAGGTATGCTCCAACCCGTATGATCGAAAGGTGGAGCCGGTCATGGGCGAGGGTTCATCTTTCGTCCACATTGATTTCGATACCGTCTTCAAGTTGGTGCGGCCTTCATTCCACAAGAACTTCGATTATGAGGATCTCATCGCCGTGTTCCAGCGCTCGGTCGCAGTGGTTTTTCACGGATCGCGGAATCTACATTCGGCTTCCCGGCACCTCGACAGCACCAGTCCCCCGCCGTGCATGGCCAAGCGCTGATGTCGGCATGGCTGTGCCGGTGCCAAGTTGGCAGCGTACAAGCGTGGTCAACTTTCTGCAGCTCCCACTGAGCATGGCAAGCCTTTGCAATGGTCCCTCAATCTGCTTCAAGCAGCGCTTGATGGTGAGACAATCCTCCGCTGCAGCACAGTGTGCGGCAAAAACTTCGATGGTAAAAGTTCATTAGAGAAACCCGTCCTCGGCTTGCAGGGATTGACGCCACCACCACTTAAATTCCTGACCAAAGCAATGAGGCCGATACTGAGAACGTCCCATGCGCTTCAAGTCCGTGAAGTCCACCCAAGCTCTGCTGACTAACCCGTCGTCGTCCGGACACGACAGCGCAAAAACAAAAGCAGAAGAGGACACAGAAGTGAAGCCTGGAGACGCGGCGCCTTCCTCGTTTGTAGGTGTTTCTGGGCTTTATTGTATATATATATATGTTTATGATCTATTGTGCTGCTGTAAGACTATGACCGCTTAGAAGCTTGTACTCCGCCAGATACCTTGTAAAACCCACTACTTGCCATAGGCCCAAAAGATCATTACCTCTGACCTTTAGAAGCGAGGTGATCCGATGCCGGGGCTCAAAGAATGTTCAGGCAGGCCCTAGAGGTGATTGACTTCGTAGCTAGGGGTGCCCAGTCTAACTGGTTTGGTTTAGGCTGCCCTTCTCACTGCCGAGGGACCGACCTGGGTAGTCTGGCTGCTGCCTTCCTCTCGGCCTTGGCTTTGGGCCTCTTCTTTCTCCTCCGGTGGACTTTCTCTTCGGGCACCTCCCTGTCTCGCCCATCACCTCCTGAGCCGGGCCCTTCCCGGGAGCCTCACCTTCTGCACCCTCGTCTGAGAGGGTACTTGCATGACGAGGAGATTGACTTGTCTCTTCGTCTTGGCAACTTGAGTATAAGGGTTAGGACCTCTCCCCCTAGGGTTTCCCCTAGTGCACCAACCGAACCCGGTGCTGAGGACCCCTGTTCCTCGTCTGCCTCCTCGGAGGGCTCCTTTGCACTCGTGGAGCCGGAGGCCGCTGAGCCCCCTCCGTGCCCTCCTCTGTATCGTAGGCTGCCTCAGCTCTCCAGCTCTTCGGGACCCCTTGCTGGGCCTTGTGCCCCTGGCCCTTTTCTAGGTAGTCCCGAAAGACCCTCCCCGCAAGCCGCATCTTCCTCGGAGCCCTCGGCGCCTGCTCCCGACTTTGGGTTTAGGTAGGCCTCGTCCCTCCTCAGGTTACCCTAGTGCCACCTCTTGCCTCCCAGACGGGCCCGTGTCTGACCCCTTGCTGGGCCCCGCGCCCCCGAGTCAACAGACTCGCTCCGAGATCGAGGTTGGCTTTCCTGAAGCCCGGGGCTTCGTCCTTGACTTAGGCAGGGCCCTCGCAGACGGGGGTAGGGCTCGCATACGCAGGGCCTGGGTTGCTGGCTGCTGGGCGCGTGCAAAGCTCGACGGTAAGGTCTCCGCGGTTGACCCAACGCCCACCTTAAGCTTCAAGAATCGCTTTTACTGTGTGCTACGGGCCCCTGGCCTTTCCTCTCCTTGTGTGTGCAGCTCCTTCCGGGCCTACAAGGACCTGGTAGGAGACTTCCGCAACGGCTCCGTCAGCCACGCGTTTCCCTCGGAGGCTGAGTGTCGCACTTTCTTTGCTGCTGCTGATATCCCATACCGCTCCCCACCTTTTGTGTGTGTGGAGGATGGCTCGGTCGAGCTCCTCGAGATGCAGTGGCCTCTCCTGCAAGATCTGGCCTTGGACCAGGAACCAGAGGCATGCCTAGCCTACTGTGTGATGCGCCGCCCGGGCGGGTTTCAGCGGGCTTCTTCTCCAGCCAGTTGCTGGCGGCCGGGGCGGCAGCAGACGAGACAGACCTCCTGGGCCCATCTTTGGAGCTCTCAGTTCCACCCATCGCTCTGGCAGAGTGGGGAGTGCCCCGGACGCCACCCCAGTGGACTGTGTCGTCGTGGACCTCGACAATGCCGCGCTAGATGCACTTGGCCCAGCCGACCCTACCGACTCGGGTGGGCGCCCGTTCTGCCCGGACAGGCCACAGGTGTTTCCTTTAGCCTCGGAGGTGCTGCGCCGAGCCGTGTCTGGTCTGGGGAGACTCTCGTGGGAGGCCGCTCAGGCTACCAAACTGCCGTCTCCGAGGTTCCACCGGGGAGGGCTGCAAAGGCTGGCGCAAGGCCCAAGCGGGTCACGGTGGCCCAGCTGGCCCAGCAGCAAGAGACTTTTGCCAAGGCCCTGGAAAACGCCTTGCAGCCGAAAGAGCCAGCGCCAACCGT